TGCAGTGTCTCTGTGCTGCATGTCCAGCCTTTCAAGCATTAACTCTTTAGTTTGCCACCCTGTTTTCGAGAGACAATCCTTTCCATTTCCCCATCCACTCCCTCGTCCTCTGTCATTTTCTTTTTACAGATATCAGCAGTGACCTCCTCTTCCTCACATTCAGATAAATACATCTACTGCTGATGTATTTAATGCCCTCAGTCTCTCCTCTTGGCTTTTCTCTGTGGCTCTTTCTATGTTGGCAGAGGGTGTTGCTTCCTCTCTCTCCCTTTCTCTCTCTCTCTCTCTCTCTCCTCATAACTTCTTTGTCATTCTGCTGGACAGTCACTATATCCCCTGAACTTCCACCCTGGACCCAAATGACCTAAATAAACTGTGGTTGGTTAGACTTCAGGACAGATTAGTTACACCTGGTATCGTGATTCCCAAATGATCGGTTACTCGTTAGAAATCATTTGGTTGTGACATCATTTGCGTGCTGTAGATCCACGGGAAGAGTTATACCTACCCTCCGTTCTCTCTACTGCAAAACAGCCCCTCCACTGGGATCCTCTTCAGCAACTCCTCGTCTCAACGTATTGGGTGAAGAGCTTGAAATATAAACATGCATTTAAGATATAAAACGTTTCCTAATAACAGAATACATATTCTAAAGGAAGACAAATATAAAGCTTAAAGCTGCGTCATAGGTTGAAAACTGTATACGTGTCGTTTTTGTGAGAACATGTAGTCCTGATTTAGTAAGAGCTGTGATTTGGGTTTGTTAACCGGCCCCTCCCATCCCCACTTCTCCTCCTGGCTGCAGCGTTGTCTCGGTGAACGATGAGAACCTGACTGCGGAGGAGAAGGAGGCGAGGGAGAAGGAGCGTCGCCACGCTAACAACACTAGGGAGAGGGTGCGCGTGCGCGACATTAACGAAGCCTTCAGAGAGCTGGGCAGGATGGTTTCGGTCCACACGCAGACCGACAAGGCCCAGACCAAGCTTATCATCCTGCAGCAGGCTGTGCAGGTCATTATGGGCCTGGAGAAGCAGGTTCGAGGTAGGTCAGCCGATACAGGAAGGTCTGATCCACACAGACGACAACCATCTCTGATTGTAGCTGGATTAGCTGCCAGTCATTCACCCGTAGGAAAATATCTTTGTTAAAGTTTATTCTCACTGACTGTGTGGCATTCCCTTTGCCGTTCTCTTTACTCTTAACTCTGAAAAAGGGAGAAGAAAGGGAGAATCTTTGAGGAAGTATATCCCTGCCCTCTGCCAAATGCCTGCGTCTGATTCTCATCTTACTTTTCATTTTCCTATCTTGCTTTTCTCCTTTTTGTTCCCCGTGTCAACTTTTGACCTTTTTTGTTTGTTTAAAACTCTGCTTTAATCTCTTAAAAGATTTCTGAGGAAGCATAATGAGATGTTCACTAGAAGTCCCATACTTCCTCTTCCTGTTTTTAATCTAAGTGTTGCTCCTTTTTTTTTTTCAAAGAGCGTAATTTGAACCCAAAGGCTGCCTGCCTCAAGAGGAGAGAGGAGGAAAAAGTTTCAGGCGTGGACCCCTCCATGCAGCTTGGTGGGGGTCATATGGGAGACGGACATATGTAATTCCTAGGTCAGTGCACAGAGCATCTAGAGTAGCATTTATGTTGCCTTCAAGTTAATATCATTTTAAATGTTTTGTTTTGTTGCAATATATTAATTTGTGTTTCTCCTTTCTCTTCCAGTTCCTGTTGATTGTGCAGCCCTTAGAACACGTGGCCTTAATCTATCATTGTCATGCATCTCAGTGTGTGTTAATCAACTTTTGGAAAGCACACACGCACACACACCTCATTACTGACAAAGCAGGTGGCCACATTCCTGACTATGAATTCAAAAGTAACAAGCACACTCTTACAGGAGGGAAATGTATTAATCTTAACACGACATCACTTTGAACCGAGGACACCGGTTTGGAGACAGTGGAAATTGGACATAAGGACTTTCTTATGATCATGTTTTTGTAAGACATTTTGAAATATTGCTTTACATGTTGGGAGCAAAACTTGTTTGGATCAAATGAAACTTTTTGGATCAACTGCTTCTGTGATCAGAGTTAGGGTTTGTATTGTTGGATGATTATTGGCATTCCCATCTGAAAAGCAGGTCTTACATTCTTCACCGGCAAAGAGGGACACCCGGGTTTAAATCTTATGATTCAATGAAACCTGTAGAAACGTGCCCAAGAGAGGCCTAATGCGTAGTGTATGATTAAGATAAAATGGCCATCAAAATGATCTTGTCATGTGATGACTGAACTACACAGGCAGGTTTGAAGACATCCAGCGAATAACCGGGCCATCAGAAGCCTGACTCATCCCTTTTTATCTGGATGTTTTTTCTTTCTTGCTTAGGCTCAAAAGAGTGCCACAGCCATTTTTTGATTAATTTCAACTGTGGATCCCTGAGTTTGATCTCTTAAAGTCCTGTACATCTGTTACGGTCACTGCCATGCAAGTGGAGCAGAAAGACTGCCGGAGAGACACCGTCCACCGACACAGACACGAGCAAAGACTCGAGATACAAATCCAGGAACGACTAAGAGGATGAATCTATTGTGCGCTGCGGGTACAGATGTCCTCCTCCCGGCTCAGATCACCAACCATCATGAAGTCAGTCATTCTCTGCCTGCCCCGGTCAATCATGCCTGAAGACTCTGTTCCAGCATGGTGAACTTACTAAACTTAAGTCTAGGAGCAACTTTTATTATGGTAAATGTTGCTTCAAGACGGAGATCCTTGAGTATTGAGAGGGATCATGAGTGTTCCTGCTACCCTGTAGAGAATTTACTCACCATTTATGGAATTGTTTTGCTGTGTGTTGAGCATTTGGTGTTTTGTTTTTTCCCCTTTTTGAACAATTGCAAAGCCTGTTGTAAGGATCTTCCTTTTTTGTAGAACTGATTTATCATTGTTTTTTTATCGTTTTATTTTTTACTTTGTAAGATAGTTGTATGAGTTTTGTTTTTATCCTTTTGGAATGCTCTTTCTTTTTTTGTTTACATTGTTTAAATGTAAGACGACTCTCAATTTAGATTCCAGGAACAAAGTGAGGTGTTTTCTTTTGTGCCAGGTGCTTAGAAACGTTAGAAATGACAAACCTATCTGGCTGTAACATCACATGTTGTGATATTGCTCTCTTTAAAAAAAAAAACTAAAAAAAAAGAATAGAAAAATGCATGTGTCAACACAACCCTGTCAGGCCAGTTGTAATTGGATTGTTCTGGTGTTTGCGACAGTTTTTCTTTAATGAAACAATATTTTCTTCAGCACACCCCCCTCTCCTCTCCCTGATGTCCAGCTCTCTGAAGAGCTTGTTGATGCGTTTGAGGAAGGGGCAGTAGGGGCGGTCTGCACAATCTGCAACATAATTCACTGTTTCATTATGAAATGAAGCATAAAATGAATCAAAAGGGTGGCCTTAGTCATTTTCCTGACTTTGGGAGTTTTGATAATGGTTACTCACCAGTGCCTGAATACTTCTCTGCTACATGGTGGACGACGTTGCATTTGAGGATTTATAGGTTGTACCTTTTTATAATACAGATGTATAAAAACATATATACTTCAGTTACATCTGACAGTGTCTCAGAACATCTAAATGAAGAAGCACACTAGTGGACGCTGACCCCCTCAGTGTCGCTGTGTTATTAAACGTAAGATGACTAATAATGAAAGGTCTTCAAATTAGACGCTGAAAACTACTTAAAATGCTTCATCTTTTATGTACTGATTTTGTTAAATATAATTTTGTCCTTGACTGGCATGTGCATTGATATGTATGTACAGCTGTATGATATGTCAGCTTTATCATTGTAAGCTGATACTTATATGTAACAGTATTTGGTTTTTTGTACCTGTCATTTTATCACAAATCTTACCCCCACGGACTAGCCCCAAACATTATTTTCTTTGTCAGTTACTCTAACCTTTCTGAAGAAAAAATGTGGTGTTGTTGTGATATGAAAAATCTCTATTGAAGACTTGTACTTTTATTTCTTTACATGAAAGATAGGTCTGCAGTATCCGAGGATCAAAACATGCACCTGATATTCTTCGTTAACAGACCCTTTCTGTCCTCCACAACAGATGACCTGCTACAAATCTCTCTGTCTTCACTCATGTTTGGGGACAACATCTATGTAGGCTATGTCCTCAAAGTGCCTCCAGTTTCCTATTTTTTATATATAAAGTAGATATAGAGAACTGTTGTGTATATAACAGTAATGTAGCAATAAATGTGCCATTTTTAATAACAAATACCACGTTGATCCAATGTCTTTTTTTTTCATATTTTAAAAACACCTGAATGTTTTTTTCCTTTCTGTAATGGAACGAGGTAGTGGTCGATCCATTTAATATTCTATTTGTTAAATGAGTTTCACCCAACTACAACAGACAAAAAGGGTAAAGAGGAATAGATACACAGGCCAGCAGTACTAGATTGATTTGTCTGCGGTGGCGCAGAAATGAGCTGAATACACAGCGTTTTATTGTATTTGTCCAGAGCCTTAGAAAATGTTTCTATGCTGTAATACAAACTGATGTGTGCAGAAGTGGGAGAAGTATTCGGATGTTGTACTTCAGTAAAAGTAGAACTACCAGAGTATAGGAATACTTTCTTACAAGTAAAAATCCTGCATTTAAAATGTCGCTCAACTAAAAGTCAAAAAGTATTAGCATCAAAATATACTCCAAGTACCAAAGAAAAAAATACTATTAAATTAGGGGGTCAATTGTGAATGTACTTCAGGTGCAACTAAAGTCAAATGTAGGTGTTGATTATATGTCATACTATTAATCAAAATGTGCCAAGTCACTAAAGATATTCAATAAATGTAGTGGAGTAGAAGTAAAATATTAACCTCTCAATTGTATTGGGTAGAAGTGCCAAGTGTAAAATGCAAGTAAAGCACAAGTCTGTCAAAATGGTAATTAAGTACAATACTTGAGTAAATGTACTTGTTTACTTTACACCGTGTGCAAAATATTACGTATAGGTTTGAAAAAACGCGCATATATTAAGGATTAGCCATGTTAGCAAAACATTAACTACAGATAATAAAGGTGTAACACGTTTGTAACTGTTCATGTTACAAATCGATGTGTTACATGTTCAGTTGTAACTTGTATCCACTGGTGTTTTCCGAGTAGAATGAACTGAAGTCATCACGCACATGCGCAGTAGCAAACCGGAAGTTCTTTAATGCTCTTAAAGCGGCACGGAGGACACATTTCAGCAGAAATGATCGCTAAAGTGGTCGGTACAAAATATGTGTCCATTGCCAAAACATGGTAAGATGATTTGTTTTACATCGTTACAATAGTAGTGCTAAAACCCGGAGAGAAGTCAGACTTACGTCAACATAATCTTGATCGTGTCCTCAGCAAACATTAGCTGTTAGCTTAGCCGAGGTCATCCTGTGGGGACGTGCTGCTGAATACTTCTCATTTAAACTAAGAATAAAGATGACAAAAATAACAATTATGAAGTTACAAACAAAGTGAGCTTCTTTGTCCTCATTGAATGTTTTCGCATAGCAATCTCCCGATTTATATACCTTTTTGTTTAGCTTGTTTATATAAGTTAACCATAACACATCTCACGTGAAGATTAGCTTTAATAATGATTAATAATAATTAATTACATTTATTTAGCGTTTTTCCGAATTCTCAAAGCGCTTTACATAACATATCATTATTACATATATTCGACATGTAACTATGAATACTTTGGACGATACCCACAGGAGCAAATTATTCAGATTTGACAAAAATGATTAGTGATACAAATAATTTGTCCATTAATTAATCCTTAACGAATCAAATAAATGTCTTTACATTTTAAATGTGGTCTGATTTGGTGTCTAATTGCTACAACCACATAGATTTGTATATACGTTTTTTACCTGGTAACTACTGTGTCTGTGAGGTATGAGTCATCTGAGAGACACCTATTTAAAAAAAAAAAAAAGATTTATTATCAATTTAATCATTTTCTAATAATACATCCGTATTTATAAATGGGTAAAAAGGCAAGTCACTCATAACATTTCAATCAGTGAAGCTTTAACCGGAAAATCTGTTTATCTTTTGCCTTTCGGGAATAATGTTGTTTATTTGTGACATGCCTTACGCCAACACTTCTTTATTAACTTATCATTCGGTGCTTAATATTTTTCTTTGGTGTATGTGTTCAGAATTCATATTTCAAGTCACAAAATAAAACAAACCTTTACAATTTTCATCATTTGTATATCCACTCTGAATGGGAGAAACGTGGAAGTCTTGACAATGTTCTGTTCTCCACAGGATCCCCACTCTGGCCGTATGGGGTTCAGTGGGAGGCGTAGCTCTGGTCCACTTCACAGACTGGAGAATGATTCTGGATTATGTTCCCTACATTAGCGGCAAATTCAATAATGACAAGTAGTGGATATCAGGTTTGTTCAGTAAATGGCAAAGAGATGACTGCAGACATAAGAGAGAAGGTGTAACAGCATGTGTTGCAAACGGAGAGCAGTAGATGCACTATCATTATTTCTGTTCCTACTGTATCTTTAAAGCCATAAACAAGGAACTTCTATCCTGTGGCGCTTAGTTTCAACCTTTACATCTAAATTGGCCTTAAACTGATCCCTCATACTGTTCACACTCACATTTCTTATTCTGTGTCATTGTCTTGATTAAAACGGGTCTCTAGCTATTTCTATTTATTTAGACATTAAAAATTGGTTTAAAATGTGGCAAACACTGGAAAGGTGCATACTGTTAAAGACCCTAACGATTCTAATAAAGTTGTGAGTGTAGGCTATGCACCTTTTTCTGTTGTCCACATTGACATTGTTAAGAAAGTTACAATTTCCCAAGTAAACTAATTATCCAAAACCATTTAGTCAAACAGCAAATAATATCATAAAATAAACAAAATATAAAGTTGTTTTTTCTTTATAGTGTGATTGACATTTCTAAACATTTTAATCCAGGTATTCGAAACTGCACTATAGTAGTAACTCTGTAATACTCTCTGCGACCAAATACCTCAACTGGCATGGTCAACTTGCCAAGACCACTACTTTCTTCTCCACAGCAGGCAGCTGTCATGACTAAGGAAATGATAAACAGAGTATAATTCTGAAACAATAAGCCAGGTAGTTCAGGGTGTCAGGAGACCAGTATCCAGGACAGTGGCCTGTTTTAAACCCATATGTACTAGACTCTAATAAGACTAGAACCCCTCTGAAACATCAGATAGGATCTGCAGCTTAGTTATTTTGCTAGGAATTCTCCAAAATGAATAGTTTAATAAATACAAAATGTCTGTGAAGAGTGTTGACTGTTAAGTGAGATTTGCATTGTGCTTTTAATGAATAAACAACAACAAAGTGTAATCTGTAAACAAAACAAACATATTTTGAAGTGTCACTTGTTACAACTTTTTCTACTGAACTTGCTGTCTTTCCTTCAAGCTTGATTTCTCTGTCACAGCAAAACCACGTTTCTACTTCTCAGACTAATGTTTTTTTCCCCTTTTTTCGACAGGTTGGTGTCGGTGTTACACAGAGACATGAATGCTTCTGCTTGGCGTCGTGTGTCCTGCAGGCCACTGGAGGGTGTCATCTTCACCATCAACATCCATGGAAATGCACTGGACTTGTCATTTCAATGGTCGTCAACCAACAAAAAACATGTATAGAAGAAATATGAGAACACCGATGACAAATGGACTTTTTTTTTTTCCACTTCATTTGGGGGTCAGGTATTCATTTTATTCATCAGTCTTCTGTGCGTCAAACCTGATTCTTAATTGAAAAACTCTGTTATTGTTTTGAAGTAAAGTATATGAGATGTATCCTATATTGTGGTTGTGTATTATTATTTCACTTGTGATTTAATGATTCAATATAGCCGTGATTAACAGGTCCCTCCCTGTACATCCATGCACGTTGAGGCACTGGTGGGAACTGCCGTGATTATTGCAGAGCGGTCGAACTTGTGTAAATATATTTCTTTCATGGGGTGACGGGTGTGCTAAACAACACACTTAACAAATGTACTCTATCATGTCTAAAGCACAGTCATTTTCATGTCATTTAGATAATGTTAGTCGCATAAGGCTGACTTAATCTTTCCAAGTATCGCTTTGACTCAAGGTTATGTGGTCAATTGGACGTATGTACATTGGAGTTTCATGGGGGATTTAGCAAAAATAGCTAGCATTCCACAGAAATGTGTTCAATGAAAAAATACAATATAAATTATTTTGCATCCTAAAGGTCTTCGGATTCTTCAGGAAGCTAAAAGTATTAGGTATTTTGCTTACCTGTAAAAAAGATTCAGATACAAATAGATGTAATGATGGTGCCTGGTTAAAAACAAAGAAATAAACAAAGGAAATTAGATAAAATTCATAACAAATCCAATTTCAATTTGAGGCTCTAGTTTTCAGTTTTTCTTGGCAATTAGTATTACAACTAATTTCTTGGATATGTTTGCTTCATCCAATTGTTTTAAACTTTAGTAAGGCCTATCTGTCAATACATTTCATTAAAGATTCAAGAACAATTTCATCGATGCAAGATATTTAGTCAAATGTACCTTATTTAGAGTCCACCTTTTGAGTTTGTATTTGTGTGAGGTTGCACGAAGGGTTCCCAAAGTTCCAACATTTGTTCATGTTTTATTTTATAAGGGGTCTTTTCTCTGCACCATTATTTTAAAAAAAATTGAGGAGAAAAAAAGCCTTATCCCTCTGTGTGTCCCTCTGAAATGCCTCCACGTTTTTATTTACACTTCGTGGTTTAAAGAAACGTTTGAGAAAGTGTCGTGCTTTATTAATAAAACACACAGTAACCTCCATAGACTCTTATCTGCTCTAGCACACTGCATCGTTAACTTGGCGCATCACTTTCGCACTATATCACCGCGGATGTGGCGGGTGTCTTCCGCTCATTGTGTTAGAAGGCTGGCGGAGTGATCTGCAGTTGCGAAGGTCCTGACGGGAGACAGACAGCAAAGGGAATCGACAACAAACCGTGCCGTGAAAAATTATGACTGCAACAACAAACAGATAGCTGGCTTCTTATCTTTCCTGAGCCAGAATCACAGACAAGCAAACCAAGAAAGCCAAGACCATGGAAAGGAAAGGGTAAGACTTAATATTCTGTCCTATGAGTTGGTAAAATAAAAGTTTCTCTGCAGGAAATGCACGCATGCATACATGCGTTTTGCAGTTCAGAACAACTCTTACAAAATGGTCATGTCTGTATTGTATACGCGTTGTTTAATACTCTTACCGCACGCTTTAGATCGTTTGAGTTTGATAGGTTTGTAAACGTCCACTTGTGAACAATGGAATTTTAATTGATGCGGTAGTTGCTCGTACGTTAACATTAGTAGCGCAGCTAGCTTGATTAGCTAGCTGAGTTTCATTGTTTACACACGCTTGACTTGCGGCGCGTTGGGCCCCGGCTCGGCGTCTCCAGGATGCCTTCTCAAAGTCTCAGCTGCAGCTCACTTTCCCTTTTTAAACTAGGAGATAAGGGATATGCTGTTTCGTAGATAATGTAGCTCTTACATTGGCTTACAAGTCCTTTAAATTAGTTGCTATATTATTCTCAACAAAGTGGTTTTGCTTGAAAAGCCAGCCAGTCTAATGTATTACAAATACAGAGTTGATGGTTTACAGATAAAACCTGAAGTTCCACTTAAAACGATCGGTGTTTTCCCAAACTGTAGCTTATTACTCCACCTGTGGGCGTGTTCAGATGGGCTGCATTGATAACCACGTAGGAACCCCTGTTATTTTGCGACAAATTACAGCTTGTGATCATTTAAAGGTAGTGCCATCAATGCCTGTAAAGAGATCATTCATTCATTTAGAATAAACCATATGATGGTGTCCAGCTGTGGTGGAAAGCAGTCATCCTTTACTTTAGTAACGGTACTATTACCACACAAAAAACTCTGGTATGTTAAAGCTTACTTAAGTTATAGAAGAGTATGTAAGTGTTATCATTATAATAAACCTAAAATATCATAAGTAATATCGTCCCTGTCAATGTATCACCATTTTGCTGTAGATGTTTAGTGTTGTGCTCATTTTAACTACCACTGCTCAGAAAGAACGTTTTATCTTTTAGTTCAATGGAAACATTCAAATACAAAATAACCTGAACACAAAAGGTATAAAGAATCGATTTTGAGAAGTAAATAAAGCTGTCCGATAAATGATGTAAATACAAATTCTAGTATTTGAGATAAGTAATAACTGCTTTAATACCTTAGTTATTGAGAAGGGACATTAGGTGATGTTGACTTTTCTTCTTTTCTTCTAGTATACCTGTTAAGCGCATTCTCAACAAACCCCAGATAGTCCGTAGTCTGGGCAACCACCTTCACACGGATGTGAACGCCGGCCACTCCCGAGCTGGATGGTCGCTCCTGACCAAAGTGCACCGCAGCAGGCACAAGCATCTGTACGACAACAATCATCACATCAGGGTGAGTCTGCATTTCCCCCCCTACTAATGAGACCTACATCCCAGTGCCAGTTGAAGACATTTCCCCTGAAACTTCATGGTGATCTCTGGACACTTCAATGAGTATACAGGGCCTGTAAAACATATTCACCTCCCTTGGAGGTTATCGTTTTACATCATTGAACCAAATGGGTTTTAATTATATTTTCTGACCATGACCAGCAGAGCAAGAGTCTTCAATGTGAAGCGATCAGTGGAGGCACATTAGGTAGTGATTACAGCCTTGAGTGTATATCAAAAAGGTTTGTGTCAGCTCTGTATGTCTTGACACTGCAGTTTTCCTTCAGTTATTCAGCCACACATTTTGGATTGACTTAGAACCTCAAGGACTCATCCAAAGTGTTTTATAACCCTCATCACAGAGTTACTTCTGTTTTAACAGTGGCTAACCGGGCTACATTTGAAAATGTTCCCTTTAAACAATTTGTTCATCATAATAATCACGAGAGTTCATTGTCATGTTTACATTATTCGCCTTGTTCTGTAATGATACAACAATAACGCATTCATACAACTGCGTCGATGCAGTTACCTCTCAGAAAGGTCCTACTAAGAACGGTTGTATTTTACTATCATCAAAGCTGGTTATAAGTCATGTTGTTGTCTCTCTTAAAGTCCAAGCCTGATTTAAACACAACACTACCAGTTCGACAGACGGCATCCATCTTCAAACAACCGGTGACCAAGGTAACAAATCATCCCAACAACAAGGTGAAGGCGGACCCGCAGAAGTCTGTGGACCAACCGAAACAAGTAAGTCCAATGACAAAACAAACACAATATAGCATAAAACGTTCTTTAGAGTCTCACCATTAAAACAAGTTAAAACATACATTTTCAAATGTCCCAACAATTAAAGTGGTGTACCTATTTGTCTTCATTTGGATTCTATTGCTAATGTGTGCTTTTCTTCTCTATATTTAATAAGTTAACTCACACTGTATTATTGCCTGCTATGCCACTTTTGCTGTTACGCTGTACATTTCCCAGCTGAGGGACTAATAAAGGGATTCTGATCTCTCTTGCTGAAAGTAGTTGTAATGTTTTGCATAGCTGACAAATACTAGCGTATATAACACTTGGTGTTCTTTAATGTCACTTTCTGGCTCTGCACATAAAACTTATGCTTTGCTTCAATCTCCAGCTATTCTGGGAGAGGAAGTTGAGCGGGTTGAATGCATTCGATATCGCAGAGGAGCTGGTGAAAACGATGGATCTTCCCAAAGGCTTACAGGGTGAGATAACCAAGGCAAATATGACCTTGTGTGGTTAAAAACTGGGGTTCTTCTAGAAGCTTGACTTGTGCTTCCCTTTTGTCTTCTACCTAGCTGTTGGTCCTGTGAGCTCAGATAAAACTCTGCTGTCTTCCATCGCCAGTGCTCTGCACACCAGCCCTTCCCCTGTCACCGGACAGCTCACCGCCGCTGTGGAGAAAAACCCTGGAGTCTGGCTCAACACATCACAACCTCTCTGCAAAGCCTTCGTAGTGACCGACGATGACATCAGGTGAGATGGTCGCACAACAACACAGCTGTAGGGGTTACTTAATTTCACATATACGTTGGAATGAAACAATCTGTGTCTCAAGTATGCTGTAGAGGTGCAGTCTATTGTGGGTCATGGCACAGTAAGGTAGGGCGACTTGTAGGGGCTGTAGTTAGTTTTGGGTAATTATCGGTAAGTAAGTTACTGATATAGTAAATGGTTATTGGTGTTATGTAAATATGTGTCCTCTGCTTGACGAAAAGCACCAAGCTTAAAATGTGTTTGTGAGGAGGAAGTTACTGCAACTCAATCCAACTCAAGGCTTCTATAGTGTTTTTAAAACTATTAATAGTCTCAGCTTTTTTTGATTGTTCACCTACATAGCATGTGTGACAAATTACACAAAAAATAAATATACACTATACATTGCTCTTGGTAGTTGGGTTAAAGGTGGGGTAGGTAATTTTGGAGAAACCAGCTCGAGTGCGCTAGAATTTGAAAATACACAGCCGGAAAAAATCTGCCACTTCCTCACAGAGCCCCTCCTCCAACACACATGAACGCGCACATGACCAATGAGGGCACGAGATAAGTTTGTCATCTGCTTCCACAGATGACGTTTTTTTATATATTTATTGTCAAAGCATTTAATATATTCATTGCTATCGGGATGTTAAGAGCATTCCATGGAATATAACAAAGAGTGTTTCTGAAATAAATGATATACCCCACCTTTAAGACTAATTGTTATTGGTCTAAATTTGCACTGTGCAGTACTTTGGTGATAAATATCATACAGCAATGACAAACATATTAAATTGCTATACATTTCCCCTCACTTAATAATAATAATAACTTACATGTATATAGCGACTTTCAGGGAACCCACGGTCGCTTTACAGAAAAACAGTTTGTGGAACTAATTCCTCATCATCATCATCTTCGCCATGAAATGGCTGTTTTCATAGTTTCCTTGTCTTGGTCTATGTCTCTCAGGAAGCAGGAGGACCTGGTGCAGAGTGTGAGGCGGCGGCTGGAGGAAGCCCTCACAGCTGACATGTTGGCTCATATAGAGGACATCACTGCAGAAGCAGCAGCAGCTAACAAAGCAGAAGAGAAGGTGGAGAAGGTGAACAAGGAGGAATTATAGCCAAGGTACACAGAACTGCAGGACCTGATCTATTGTTGCCTATAACTTTAATGTTGCTCCATCCATTAGCCTCCGTTTTTGATTGTCTTCAGTTGGTATGAACGGCAGTACATGTAACAAGTCTCTTTCTCATCTCTCCCATAGGCTTGTTTGACATGAAGTTGCTGGTAAACTCCTTTTTATTTTCAAATATTTGGCTCCATGAAGATTTTTTTAACTCAATTTCAAGTGAAATATACCCTAAATGCAGACATTCTGCAGATTTTGTTTACCTAAACAAAGATTGTTATTTTTGTTTTTATTTTTGTTGTGTTACGGTGTACTTTTGAAAGGGTCCTTTGGGTTTTTTGTTCATTTTTACCTCTAATAATGTTTGGGAACTGTCTATAGACTCTATACTGTTTATTGTTTTCAGGAAACAGTGACATCACCATTTCACCATTGATACTACATTGAGTCAAAGGATGTTACTGTTCCCATAAGAATACTTCTAAGGCAGTTTCACAGCAGTTGTGGATGCTGCTCTACACAATGCAGTGTTACATTTAGTTAACAGCTGTTCAAGCTCCAAGTTAAAAACACAAACCTGATGTATGTGACTGTGTTTGCGTGTGTGTTGAATGTATAAGCTCATGTTGACAACTTAAGTATTTTTTTTTTTTTTTTTTTAAACATGTTGCTCTTTTATATTTTAATCTGGCACTGTAGGTAGTGTGTTTTATGTTCAGAAGCATAGTAAGGTTGCAGTATGTTTACATGCGCACAGCACTCTCGTGGCTGTGGGTTATTAAAATGTAGTTTGTTTGATTCAAGGTTTTACAGTTCAAAGCAGTGTTATTTTTTACAATAATGAGAGTTCACATGGTTTTAAGTTCAAGCCATGGTATTGTGTTGACAAAAGAATAATCAGTACTGTTTCATCACATTTGAGCTTTAACAGGAAAAATATGTACCCTTAGATAATACAAAAACAAGTACAACACTGACGTACCTCAATACAAGATTCATTATTTGTCTCTGTCTAATAAATGCAGCTCTTTAAAAACTGGTGTTGATTGTCTTTTATTGGTCATTATCCTCCTTAGATTTAGGAGGTTATGGTAGTTGGACAGGATTTTAAGATAGTATTCTTATTCCTCTTCAAATAAAGGGTTCACATTGTTCATGTCCATCATAAAACAATACTAACATACATATATGTCTATGGATGTTATAGGTGCGATGAAACCTTGTTTCCAAATCCACAGTCTGTGTTGTGCCAAAGCTAATGAGGTTGTGTCCCTAAAAACAATAAGGGGGCAAAACAATTGATTCAGGAGGGGATTTCTACCCAGCCATTATGGACAATTTCATTTATCAATTCAATAGCTTTATTAGCATGACCATATTGACATACAGTATTGCCAAAGCTCTGTATAGTTGCAACATCTATACACAAATACACACAAATAAACAGTTATAAACAAACTGCTAAGAACATGTTTTTTTTAACAAGGAATACAGATTCAAATAATACAAAATAGAATAAGATATAGAAGATGTGAGACCTGGTGTATCTTCTCATTCCCATTCCCTCAAACTGTGTCAGGCAGAGACAAACTGTCCTGCAACAATGCAGCTCTTTATATTCCCGAGAAGTATTTTTAAATATTTGAGGAAGCTTATGATTGAGTTTTGGGAAGAATTGTTTCCGTATAGGTTCAAAAGTTGGGCATTGTGTGAGGAAGTGCTGCTCTGTCTCCACAGCAGTTCCTCCACATTGTTGGCATGATCGCTCCTCTTTTGGCAGCCATGTTTTCTTGTACCTGCCTGTTTCTATGCCTGCCAGGCTGTGAGCACTCAGTCTGTACTTTGTCAACATCTTCCTGTGTTTAACATCAGTCACTGTGGTCAGGTAGGCTGCCACAGTGTACTGTCTTTTTAGGGCATTGCATTTTACTTTGTGTTTGGGATTTAGTGTTCCAATAAGTGAGGTAGTTTTTTGTGTATTTTGTTATAATTTGGTTGACTCTAATAGTTTTGGGCTCAGACTGGTCCTGAGGCAGAACATCGTTTGAGCCAGTTTGTGAACAGAGTGTCAGGACCAGCTGAGAGAGGGGACTCTTTTCCTTGTTCATCTCTTGATGCTGCAGGGCTTTGTGGTGGTAGGAGTGGGGGTCTCTTTCTTTTAGATGTAGCCAATATTTAATTGATCGTTTCTGGATTTTTATTAATAATGGAAATGTGCCTAATTCCGCTCTGCATGCGTTGTTAGTTGTTCTCCTGTGAACCTGCGGATGCGTTTGCAAAACTCATTGGATGATTTTCCTATTTGTCAAATGTTTGGTTTGTTTGTGGGCCCCACACTTCGATGTCAGTTTCCATGTGAGCTTTGTTTTAAGATTTACTTGGAAAAAAACATTCCTTTGTCTTCAGTCCGATGTTCCCATCTTTTTTATGTTTTATTAGATTTCTCCTGACTTAATATTTGAATGTATTACTATTGGTTCTTTGTGTTACATGTTGTGTAGTTATGCCTCTATTTCTTAAATTATGTATACCTGAATTGAGAAATTCTAACCCATCCCCCTTTGGCTGGAAGCAATGTGGGTCAACTCCTGTTGTTTTTATGTGCTATAGAAATACACTAACTAAACTGTTGTATATTTATTTCAATTCATAGTAATAAAAAAAAAGGGTGTGCGTTGAAAATGTAACTACTAGAAATAACATATAAATGCAGACACGCACACACTGTATGAGCATCTTGAAAGGCTGTTGTTGGAAAACCCAAAACACCTCATTGGTAGGATGATGAACACACCCAACCACGGCTACATTAGAAAAAAAACAGCAATGCGTTCACTGTGGGCGATGCAAAAACGTGTAATAAAATTGGTAAATCAAATATCTCCCTGCAGACTGTCTCAGACACTGACAGCAGCGGTGGCTTGCCGTTGATGCTACATGTGGCCTTTGAACCCATTGTTGTGTCTCGGGTGACGTCAGTGCCGTGTGCGGGAGACGGAGCGGCGTGCGCCTGGCGAGACAAAGGCGGCGGACCGGGGTCAGGCAGCAGCAGCAGAGAGCCGAGAACCACTGTTTTTATTCTCACCAAAAAGACAACAACTATTCTTGGATTTCAGCTGCGTTTCCCTGCTGGAAAGCAGAATGAAGACACAGTGACACTCCCAGGAATACGCTCTGACTCCAGAAAGAGAACAAAAACAACAACAGTGCCCTCTTTTCGATTTTAAACGTTTTTCTCCTACGCCCCCCATTTAGCGTGCTAGCTAAGCTAACCCTGTTAGCTCCCTAGCGCTGCACAGAGCTGGTCTCCTCCTCCTCCTGGCTGCTTCTCATCTTTTCCCTCAAAACCTGGACGACAAGCAAAGACAGGATCTCATCGACCAAGGCAAGATAAAGTAAGTTCGTGTGTTTTTCGCACTTGTCTAATTTTTGTAATCAATCTTTGAGAATGGGCACAAGTTGGACTGTCAGAGCAGAGCTAGCAGCTAGCCGAGCTGCTCCCAAACAAAGGGGTCGACAACGTGACTGAGTGCCGACTGTGTGGAGCTAGCCTGTTAGCCTGGCTCTTGGGGCTAACAACAGATAATATTAATCTTTTATCTTTCATTTTGTATTCGATCAGTACATTTAAGAGTGTCTGTCGTTGGTGCCTCACATGTTGTTTGTGCAAGGGAATACTTTGTTCACTTGTGTTCAGGCGGACATGCTTTATCCCGACAAAACAACCTGGATGGTTTCAGTTGTCAGACAAGAAGCAACAACAGACAAAGCAAGGCGCCCAAATCAACACTGCTCCTGCGTGCTACTCTTTATATGAGCGGCAGCTCCACGGTGCTCCACTCCTGTCTGGATTTTGTGTGTTTAATGATAAACAGACACTTGACTTTTGTTGCTTTTTATTAATTTTTTTCTACAGAAGAGAGTGAGTTCACTCCCAACAAACAGGCATCGGTGATCTGATGTGCGATCCACGGAGACAATATGCCTAGCCCTTTATTCCACCCCGAGATTATGGACCACGACGTGGTGATCAGCAGCCAGCACAACGGGGTCGGTCTTCCCCGGGAGACAGACCAGGAGTCCCGGGACGAGGACCACCAAGAGGCATTCCGCTTCGCCCTGGACCAGCTGTCACTCATGGCCATGGAGAAGGTGGACTGTGTGGGCGGCGGACTGGTCGACCCTCTGGATGGGACCCAGGGTCCGGGCTCTGACGGCTGTAACGGTGTGGGTTACGTGGATCTCCAGATGATGGAGCATCCCAACGGGTCCCGGGATTCGCCGTCGTCCTGCTCTCCATCCCCGGAGTACTACGGCACGGGCGGGTACCACATGGCCGGCTCCCACTCAATGCTCCACGGGGAACAAAGCTCCGTCCTCTGCAGCAGGAAAAGAAGTGTCAACATGACTGAATGTGTGCCTGTCCCCAGCTCCGAGCATGTGGCCGAAATAGTGGGAAGACAAGGTAAGAGCATGAGTGGTTTTGGTGGTTTTTTGTGAGGGGTTATTTGGGGTTTGTTTGTGTACAGCTCGGCCTGGTGGCTCTTTGTTTGGGTGGCAGTCTGGAGAGAGGAGGGTCTCTGAACTTTTACTGCCTCAGCTTGATGCTCTGGTCGGGCCGCACTCACTGTGTTGGTCTTTAATGTCAACATAATGCGGCTACTCTCTTAAAGAATCCATACATAATGTATTGATATTCAATTTCTAACAGTAATAAGACAATGCCTTGACATAGAGTGAGTGTGGGTGATGAGTAGGAGGGAGGGGGAGGGGCGGAGAGGGTCAGACAAAGCGGCAGATTGTCGGGAGTCTGGACATGTCTAGCAGCATGCACCAAACAAAGGAAATATACCGAAATGTGCAGATTTGATACATCACAGGTTAAATGGGCATGTTTAAACACTGGGCTCACCTTTTAACTCATGTAGGTGTTTATAGTAAATGATTAGTGTCTCTGCTGCTGATCTTAAGCTGAAACGCGGCAGCAGTAGGCTCACAAACACGGGACTGGGCGGTGTTACGCCCTGCACCCAGCTCTGTCTGCCGATGCTGCTGTTCGCTCCTGAGCCGTTTCCCTTTACACATATCATTTTTATTTTTTATTTTTTATCAATATATATCATTCATTTTAAATTGGCACTTGTTGTAGGTTTGGTTCGCCCGTTGCAGACGCGGCAGCGTTGAGGCATTGTTCTCTTTGTTTGAAAAAGCCATGCTTTCTGCTTCCCACAATGACATCACACTCCGGGCTTCCTATTGGTCGCCGAGAATGAAGCGTCCATATTTAAAGAAACAGAGCATGAGTTGACACCAGCAGTGCACCAGCTATTGACTTGGTGTTTGGGCAGACAGGCTCTTCATTCATATATTGCTTATGCATAATGCGTTTACTTCCACGTATATGTTTTTATGCATTTGAAAATGGTGCATTCATTAAAACCCTTAAACCGGAGTGCTATGATTAATGAATGTAATTGAGGAATAAGTACACACATGCTGATGCAACTGAGCATACTCCCCTTATTCAAATATGTATTTGAGACGTTTTCAATGTTGTTTGTGTGTAACAAAGCTGATGCTTAATTATGCACACTTACCATGGTTTTAACATATGCAATAGACCTGCAAAAAAAAAACTACCTTTTTATTAGAGATAATGATCGGTTTTGTAGAAAGGTTTGTGAGGGACATGGATTTGACTATATGAGAGATTTGGAGGCTGCCGTTTGTGGTTCAATTGTACTCAAATGACTTTCATGAGGCCTGGTAAATACTCACACCACAAACTATCCCTATATAGTCAAATCACCACCATATTTCAACCTTCACTTTAGTCACACATCATTTATAAATACGTGTTTGAATGTGTTTAATAATGGTGTTAATGTACTTCTGCATCTTTCAGGTTGCAAGATTAAGGCCTTGCGTGCCAAGACAAATACCTACATAAAGACTCCAGTCAGGGGCGAGGAGCCAGTATTCATCGTGACGGGACGAAGGGAGGATGTGGAAATGGCTAAACGTGAAATTGTCTCTGCGGCCGAGCATTTCTCTATGATCCGGGCATCCCGCTGCAAAGCCGGAGGGCCCGGGGCAGGAGGAGGAGGAGGAACTGGCACTGGAACTGGCACGGGCACTGGCACTGGCACCAGCTCTCTTCCTGGACCTCCACACTTACCTGGACAGACCACCATACAGGTAGAGAACCCCCCATGGCTTAGCTCTTATTGTGTTTATGTGTGACTCTAGATGTATGATAACTAATGTGTGTTAAAAATAAACTACAAATCACCTACATAGTAACATTGAAATATTTCCCTTCCAGGTGAGGGTGCCCTACAGAGTAGTCGGTTTAGTTGTTGGACCAAAGGGAGCGACTATCAAGCGCATCCAGCAGCAGACTCACACCTACATCGTGACCCCCAGTCGAGAGAAAGACCCCGTGTTCGAGGTCACCGGCATGCCGGAGAACGTGGACCGGGCGAGAGAGGAGATCGAGACCCACATCACTCTGAGAACTGGAACCTTTGTAGACCTGCAGGGGGACAACGACTTCCACTCCAACGGCACTGATGTCAGTCTTGAAGGCCTGGGCGCCCTGAGCGCGGGGCTGGCCTCTACTCTGTGGTCCAGGGCTTCTGGCCACCACTCTGCAGCCCCTCCACCTCCAGGCTCCCCACCTCCTCCTATTCCCATGTCCATGCACCACTCCTCCGGCCGGAAGGTGTCCTCCTCGGCAGCCTATCACACGCACAACGGCGGGATGAACTCAGAGACCTTCAGCAACACTCGCAAGGCCAATGAGTCAGGCAGCCCCACCAGCCCCTTTAGCACAGGCTCCAGCAGTGCGGGAGGAGGATTCACTTTCGGGGGAGACTCCACCCCAGGGTTGCCCTCCTCCGATGAACTGGGCTTCGAGTTCAGCGCCGCCAACATCTGGGCTCCTTTCGTTAACGGTGGAGCAGGCAATAAGACGCCCGGCTCCGCCCAGCAGCAGCCTCTACGTCGCAACAGCAGCGGCCTCAGCGGTGGCGCCATCACCCCACGATTGTCTCCAACTCTCCCTCAGGACACGGGCGTGGGCCCCATGGATCACCCCCTAGCCCGCCGGGCACAGAGCGACCCCCTCAGCACTCTCTCCTGGCTGCAATCTGGCAACGCCGGCAGCGGCTCCTTCTCCGGAGCGTCCAGCTCCAGCTCCGCCGGCTCGTCCACCGGTTATTCCTCCTGCTCGGCCTCCTCCCTGCCCGGCGGCTCCCCCACTGACTCCGAGGGAGGCAGCGGCGGGGGTCTCAGCTCTGGCATGCTGAGTCGTCTGAAAGGCCCCGGGGTCGCAGGTCTGGTCGGCGTCGGCCCCGGGATCAACAGGGACTGCTTTGTGTGTTTCGAGAGCGAGGTGACAGCAGCCCTGGTGCCGTGTGGCCACAACCTGTTCTGCATGGAGTGCGCCGGGCAGATCTGCCAGTCTGCCGAGCCGGAGTGCCCCGTCTGCCACACCCCCACCACACAGTGCATCCGCATCTTCTCCTAATGCTCCGGCAGAGCGGCGGGGCGGAGGGTGAAATACGAGGGAGGCGGGAAAAAGACTGGAGTGGGGCACCAGCTGTGGCAGACGGAAGGATTCACACTAATAACTTTCACACACACATGATGGACCATAATAAATGCATAATAGAGATGATGATACTATACGGATGTTGATTTATTGCTGATAACTGTCAAAAATAATAATAATAACAATAATAATAACTGAAGTTGATTGAAACTGGTCTGCAGACAGTTGTTGCCTCAGACGGTCTCAGTGATGAACTTATGGAAGGAAACTAGTGTCTTATCTCTCTTCAGGCCTTCATTTTGACCCGGCGCTGCCGGTCTGTCTCGACATTTCTTCATTCTGGCTTCTTCAGATCTCTGCCTGCTTTTCTCTCACAGCCTTTCCTTTTGACACTTTTGTACTTAACAGATATTTTTCGATGAAGCTGTCAATAAGGCCTGCACTTTTCTACTCCTTATTTTAATGTTTCTTGACAGGAGGCAAACCGTTCCAACCCGACCCCCCCCCCCCCCGCCCTTTCACCTTCTCCTCTTGCTCTCACTCATGCTGTTGCCTGTAACATTGAGAGGCGGGGTTGCTATTTTTTGTAAGTTTGGAACTTTTTTAAAGATCCGCGATGTGATCAGGCCCCTATCGGCACACCCTAGGGCCATCTTAGGAAGACCTCCTGTTTCTCGTTGCCACTCAAATTTAGCCATCTTTAATGCCAAATGAATGCTATTAAATAGAACTCTCTTAATTTCTGGTCAAATTTAATAACCTGTTGGAGGAATTTGCATTTCAAATGTGGCTGCTGCTTTGATTCACATGTATAGAGAGGTGCAGTGACGAGTCCTAAAGTGAGTTAGCATTTTACCACTACCGGTTCCCTCGTCTCGGTCAATGGGATTTTGGAGAATAGCTTGGAATTGAGCTTACTTCCGGGTTAAGTCATCCCTGCACCGCTCTATTACCCACTCATAAGTGAGAAACGTACCATTTGTGATACAGTAGGAATGTGTCTGAGGTCAGTTTTCTTGTACGTTTGGGCTGCCTGACAATCCCTTTACATCTCTATTGTGTATGTGTGAATATCGCTCACTCATGCTGTTCTCACATCACATCTCATGTGTCGCCATGTGAAGGTCTGGTGTCTGTCCTGCTGCCCCTCCTTCACTCCCACAGTCTTAAAGGAAGGATTCACTCTGATCCATCCATCATGTCTGTTACACTCAGATCAGTCGCTTAGCCTTTTCTATTCTATTCTATTTTTTGACTCTTGACTGTCAAGTGTGTGGCTCACAGACATATTTTGGACTCTAGGATGAGATAGGGCTTCTCTGATGTCACACGTAAATGTTTTGTGCTGTAAGGATATGGAGAAGGCTGCTCCTCCCACACTAAATAATAACAAGTGGCTCAATTGAACCTTTTTTCATGCACTGTAACTCCCAGTCCCTCTTAGTAGGAAAGAAAAACAGCTCGTACTGTTTTAGTTTTGGTCTTCCACCCCACTCTCACAGCAAAGCTGTATGGCACTCTCAGATGACACACTGTCATTCCCATATAGCGCTGTCCTCCTGGCCAAATGTGGTGCACTAAGTGGTTAGTCGTTTAAGGTTGGTCCCGTGTTTTCATAGCATTACTGATAAGGCAGTTGCGTCCTGTTTTGTGTTAGTGGTTTTTAAAGAATTCAGTCTGAGTTTGCAGTAACTGCCTCCTATAGTGTTAATACTGTATGTATGATTTTGGACGATGTAGTTGGTACGCGGTTGCCGTTATTGGCCCTTTTGAACATGCACGGAATCAGCTCATAGAATGAGACAAGCCATGCCGACAGAATTAAATCGACACACCTAATTCTCAAGGGCTTCCTCTGACTGCACAGACACATGATCACGCTTTCAGGCTCACATGCAGAAGGTAGAACTTATCCTTTATGGCAGCTAGTAGCTAGGTCATCCAGGGCTTCCAGACACTTTGTGTTCAAATCCCAGCAGCTGCAGAATGTTTTTGCTGTTGTATTTTAAACTATATTTTCTAACTGTCCCTACACAGCCATCACATTGGGATCCGGTCAGTAGGGCATTGCAGCCACAGTGTGTCGTCCTCTCTGGACGTAGTCACAGATCAGGACGGGTCGTAGGGTTTTAATGTCAGGAAAAAGGGTAACTCTACTGAGTCAAAAAAAAATGTAGAAAATGGGCAGTTTCTGCTGTGCTTTGGTGCTCCAGCCAGTATGTTAACTTATTGCTGCCTGACTGTTCGTTTGCTACTAAGGTGACGAGGGCAGCAGCTGCACAGAGGAATCTAATAAGCCGCTGTCCTGGTTGAGCGCAGCAGTGCACTCACTCATGTGTCCATACGTGTACGTGAAATCTGCCCAGGAGCTGCACCAGGAGTCTTTGTGAAGATTCTCCCATGGTGCTTTGGGGCAACTCCCTATTGATACGCAGCGTTGAACAAACCCAGTTGGCAGCGGAAGGCCTCTTAGTGTTCAGACTTCTGCGGCGCTGCACTGTAAACCTGACTACCCTGTTCTCGCTCCTGTGAGAACGCCTCCCTGTCAGGCTCTGATGTCAAACGTCACATTTTGTTTCTTAATCGTGTGCACTCAGAACAGATGCCGGGCCCTGAACGCATCTGAAAGAACTGATCAGCTGTGTGAGTCTGATGAGGCCGATCTTAGAGCCCTTCTTTAAACTGTCCACGTTGGCGTGTTAAAGGAATTCAACGTGTTGTATTTACCAGATGGTTCTGATGCGCATCCTGGTGTTGCAATGGGGTGTTTCTGGCCAATGAGAAATTGTTAGGGTTTAGTGTACAGTAGTTTTCATTGTTAAAAAGGTACAAGGTTTTTCAGATTGACTGCTGATTTTTTTTTTTGTTGCCAAACTTATCCCCTCCCCCATTTCCTTCCTAAAGGTTTGAAAACAGGGTTTCCTGAGGTATGCTAGCCAGTGACCTCTGACCTTTTTTTGTGATGAGAGGGGGGGATGCAAAGAGAGCTAGGCCAGTAAGGGGTGACAGACACCCCTCAAGCTGCCGCTCTCCTATTTTTTGCTTTAATTCTCTTTTGTATGCAGAACCAAAATGTAAAACGTTGGCAAACTAGGTTTCAGGCCTGACCTGTGTGTATATTCCCTGAGTACAATCATTGGGCTCTTGTTTTCAAAAGCAAAATGACTTAATTGAAGATAAATGTAGTTTCTAAAGAACATGTATCATTATTTGTAAGTTAACCATCTGCATGTCTTCAAGCCACCTGGCATTAGCTAATCATTTTTAAGATAAAAAAAAAACTTTTTACACATTTTTATTTTTTACAATTTATTTGCTTACCTAAAGATCCCAGACAATAATGTGACCCTTTTTATTACTTCAAATTTATTTTTATTTTCCATTTTTTTATTTTCCTTATTTCCTGTGTACTACATAATAGGCAATTTATAACAAAATGAGAAAATTATTGAAGAAATTTTAAAATTGAAATATATTTTATTTGAAAGTTTATGGACCTTTTAACCGTGAGCCGGAAAAATTGTATAATCGTATAATTTGAGCTGACTTGACGGTTATGAGAAATGTATCAAGAGTTTTATTTTTTATGCTTCTTTAATAAAGTCTTGTTTTGGTTTCATTTTTTTTACTGTAAAATAAGAACTTGTGTCTTGTGTCTTTTGTTTCTGTTCCAAGTGGAAATGTGCATCACACTGGAGCGTCGTGGCCACAAGGGGGCAGTAAAAACAACCCCATAAATAATGGTCTGAGAGAAATCTGCAGTTCAGGCTGTCTGTAAATCTGAGTCTAGACCTTCAGTTCAGATCAAGATATAATATCAGGGTGAGCCTGAATCTTACACTAACATCGGGTGGAAATCTTCCAACAATAAATTCAACAGCAATGTGGTGGGATTTGGACCTTTAGAAATAAGCAATATGAAGGAAATAGACAATTATTTCTGTCATGTTTTAGCCCAATTGTTTAATCAACCACCCAGATTACCCACTCAAACCTTCCCTCAGCAGATACTCCATTCACCGGGGATGGGTTTAAATCCCAGCCAGTAAACTCATTAACATACAGTGTACAAAACATAAGTGAAATCTGTTTTGTACACTAATGACACCATGTTACGAAAAACTGTCCCTACCTATATTTAGTCTTGATGATACTCAACTTTCCTTTTAAGAAAGCAGAGAAGGAGCTCTTCTCAGTTTCACAGACTGTTGGCAGTCTACGGCTGGTTAACTCTCACATTCAGACACACCTGTTTTTATTGTATTTACTATTTTAAATAAACATTTTAAGAAAATCCTGCTATTTTTCTCTCTCTTCCTGCTCTAAAACTTAGATTTTATTAAGAGCTTCCTCATCATGTGACAGTAAATCCAAAACAATACCTAATGGTTTACTTTACTTGATAGGTAGGACATGCATTTATTAGATTTTTAGTGCTTTCGTATTTATTTGCCTAAAAAATGTATGATTCAGCTCTTTCATCTAAAGAAAGACATGTTCTGGTTATGATGTCATCAAATGCTCTAAACTTTTTAATTTAAATGTGGCTGGTTTTCCCATTGTCCTGTTGACTGGCAAGCTCCTTGCTGAAGGTAATAAAAAGCAGATGTATAGATTGTGACACAAATGTCCTTTTATTAGGAAGCAGATCACAATCAGGTTGCATTCCAGTTCCTCCTCGTCCTCATTAAAGAACAATCAGTAATGATAAGAAACAAATTAGAAACATCCTTTAGTAGAAAATAATTCTCTCATGCGAGTTCTGTGTTCACACATATTGGTTACGGATGACGTATTCACAAGCCTTTTGGAAAAACAAAAAAACATTGATGAATTATCATTAGGCTACATAGCTTTGAAAAAAGGGAAAAATAATTCACATCAGAGACGCGTGCTGGCACGATAAAGTTTCCCATCATGCAATTGATTCTATATTCACAGGGTGGGCGTCATTGGTCTCCACAGAGTTGTGTCGGCGTGCATGCATGCATGTGTGTCATTTTACATGTGCCCTTTTGTGCTTGAGCAGAGATTGGTGTTTAGATGTGTGCAGGGGCGGACTGGCCATTGGGAATACCGGGAGTTTCCCCGGTGGGCCGGTGCTGTGTGTGGGCCGGAGGGCCAAAAAAAAAAAAAAAAGTTTATAAAGAAAAAAAAGAAAATCTTTTTTTTTTGCCTAAATCCTACCGGCCCACATTTGTAAGTGTTCCGGCCACTCCCTTTTTTTTTCGGAATACATGTAACGGTGTTACGTAATCAGAATACAAAACTCAAGTAACTGTATTCAGCTCGCGTTACATTTGAAAAACGAATAATCTGATTACAGTTACTTTCGTAAACCTGAAGTGAATACATTTTGGATTACTTATTGGAATTATTGGTGGAAAGATTTCCTTCATTTACTTCAACATTTAAAAAAAAATCTTCTCGGGGGAGCTTGCCCCCGGACCCCCCTAGAGGAGGTGAGGTCCACCACCTGCCCACACCCCCTGTTAAATTGTCTCAGCCACATTAAGGATGCTTCCTACGCCCATGTTTTATTCCATGTGTCAAGTCAGGCAAATTGGGTCCAAATGTTATTGCATCTATGATCTGTTAACATTAAAATCACTAAATATATGCCGTAACTATTTTGCTCTAGGCAACTCAAGGGCTCAGGTAATGTGATTACTATATGAATAATTGTCCAAAATAACATAAAATGCATAGTGTTTTTTTTTGTCTGTCAATTCCCCCCAGTCCGCCCCTGGATGTGTGTGTAGTCAGTGCGCGAGTGTGTGTGCAGTGTTCATACATACATGGAGCAGGCAACCAACGAGCCCCAAACTGGATAATGGCTCATGTTATTTTTCATACTTTTCTAACGTGAAATGTAGAGTTTAGTCTTGAGCCTTGGGATTACTTAATCAACTCATTAAAAACAATGTAACTGCACTGCGTGTTAAACGGGACGGAAAGCTTATTTCAAAAGCCGATTCTCCTAAAAATTGAGTTGGGACAGCATGAGTTGCTGTCCCAGTGCTATTCGTGGTTTTGGATTGAAATGTCCCTCAGATCATAGACAGAAGGCTTAGCTGAGGATAAGTGACATTCAGAAGCTTTGTTTTTGGTAGAAATAAACAGTATTCAGTAAAGACAACATGTGACAGGCCAGCACTGACCTCATTAAGTAGGTCATCAGAACCTCTGAGTGTTGCTCACCTTTATGCAGTTAAAGGTAACAGATTTATTGATGCACATGACAAGACTGAAACCAACACAACATAGATGCTTGGCGGTGACTCCGATGGCTTCTTTCTTTGAAAAAATACATGAGCTCTGGTTCGTGCAAATTTGGTCCTAAAGGCAAATAGGAATTCAAGGACAAAACACGTTCCCTCTTATTTAAAAAGTGACAAATATCTTACACACTTCCACCGGGAATGGGAATTTTATGATTCCATGAATAAAGGTAGATAGAATAAAGAAGAATCATACGTTTTCCATTCCTTGGATCTGGATATTGCAGTTGGTGCTCCTGTATTTATACTGACAGCGCATACATTAAGGGTGTCTATACAATATATTGCTCACAATCTCAGAGCCCATTTACCCCCCCCCCCCCACACACACACACACACACGATAACAAAAGAAACAGGGGGTTTGCTCTTCGTAAAAAGAACATAGGAACAAACCACTATTGCCTTAAAGAGATGAGTTTGGTGTGCAGGTGATCGGAGCCGTGTCCTTCAGCATCGCGTCCTCTGGGCTTCTCCTCAGTGTCATTCATGAAAGACAATCGCAGAGAGTGGTATTGTTTATGTAGACGGGTGGGCACGTGGGGAAGCCTCCTGGTCTTTTTATCAACTGAATCTTTGAAAGGATGCGTAAAGTGACCCCCCGTCCGCTGATCATCCTGTAGCCCTTTTTGGAGTAAATGTGCACTCTAGGGGTGTGGATGTGTTCGACACTGGGGTATTGCTCCGTTTATCATGATGTGAAGAAAGATTTTTTTTGTATATATAAACTTTGTGGCCACAACCTTCATCTCTACACATCATCATCAGTTTCTCCATGATCATGACGGTTAGTTGGGTTATAAAACCTTATTACCAGGGATATATATGTATGCACCATGCTCACACAGGTAAAATATTGTAGGCACCCATCTTTTATGTTGGGGGGGATACAGCAACGTGAATCACAGTGTTCCTGGGTTCAACATGCAGGACATTACAGGACAGACTAGAAGTGACGTTGCCCCCCATGGATGCTGATCTAAGGTCAGTGTTTTCTCTCTATTTTAGATTTTGGAGCAAAAGGGTACCGATCTTAGATCTGTGCCTGACCTCCGACCAACACAACACATCACACCGTGGGAAAATTACGGGGGGGGGGGGGGGATTGGGGAGAAAGACTGACAGACTTGAAGAACGACACACAGTCAGGCAGGCAAGCAGACGGACAAACAGAGCTAGACAAGAACCGCTCTCTGAAGACAAAGAGAAGCAAAAGTGCAAAGTGGTCGTCCTCGATCTATCAACAAGGTTCAGTTGTGGCTCTGCGTTGCATTATATCACGTCTAAATGTACAGCGTATAAAAGGTGTGATGCGTTCTGGGAGAGATTGAGTGACAAGTGCTTTCTAATGTGAGGCTAAACTGAAGTGGAAAAATGAATTATGAATAATTATAAACATATTCCTCCATGTTTTGCATTGATAACATTGCAATGTAAATGTTGCATAATGTATGCAGATATATGTACAATAGAGCATGTGTGTGCTTGTGAATTGCACATGGTTGTCTATCTATGCAGGTGTGACTTCTATATGTGTGCATAATGCTATGTCTCTGGGTTGTTGTGCACACGCATGTCTTTGCTCCCCCCCCCCCCTCAGCTGCGACCCTCCTCCGCTGAGCGCTGGTCCGACTTGAGCTTGACGAACTCCTTGGCCACCTCGTCGTTGTTGCGCTGAGAGAGGATGCGCAGCACGGTGAGGCCCGTCTCGTCCATGTGGACGCGGCGGCCCAGCGGCATCCAGAGCGTCACGCTGCCCTTGCTGGCGATGTCTTTCAGCTGCACCACGGACATGCCCACCGTGCGGTCCTCTCGGGCGAAGCAGTAGTCCTTCACACACACCTGCAGCTCGTAGCTCTCCGGACCCACCTCCGTGCCCAATGCGCTGAAACAACACACAGTCATATCCTTGTTTTACTACACGTCTGTCTGCATTTTACTAACACTCAAGAATTAACAAACTCTTCCGGTACATACGAGTCAACCAAAATAGCACACACCCTGTAGTTTTAATAACCTGCTACATTTGGAACCCAACTGATGTCCTTATCATACACTTTGACTTAACCCTGCACTAAGGCAAAACAAACGTACCCTAATCTATAAATGGAAGAATGGTAGAGCCAGGAGAGAGAATCTAAAGGTCAAACATGGAAAGAGAGGAGACTCTGAGAGTGTGATGTTTAGTAGTGTGTCTAACGTGTACACGTAAGCACATAGGAGAATCTAAGTAGATACATGTGTATACGAATGTATAGGTGTGTGCGTATGTCTGCTATTATACAAAAAAAACTAAGAAAAAACTAAAAACAAAATAAAATAAAAGTTATGGAGTACATTGCCTGAGACTATTAACTCATAAATGATACACATGTTGTTTTTATCTCGTCTTCACTGTATTCTTTATTTTGTCTATTTATAGTAAGAGGGTTAAGTTAATATGCTCTGTTGCATCTTTACTAAGTTATTTAGAGGAACCTGATGGATGTTAAATGGACAAAGAAGTTGATTTTTTCCCACTACTTAGCATATAGTATAAAGTATATAGTATACAGTATATATAATTCATAGAGCAGACGGGATGATACTCACTACTGAAAGCTCTCAATGAACTTGGGGGACCAGGCGTTGTTTTTGGACTTGGTGGCAAACTTCCTCTTCTTGTCGCTGAGGTGAGGGCCGATGATGTAGACCTCCACGAAGGGCCTGAAGCCCTGAGCCTTCCACTTCAGGTCGTTGGCAGCCACCACTGGAGGGACAGACAGAGGTTAAGGTAAAGAAGCAATGTAGGAGAATACAAGGACATTTGCACAGCGATGCAGTCTTTGTTTCTACCTTTGATGCCGATCTTGTGCTCTCCATTCGGTTGGGGTAAAATGTCCACGCACATGATGACCTCACCCACAGCATCCACTCCAGATGCTGTAAAGACATACTCAGTGATTACTCTTATTTATATAATGACTTCGTGTGCAGTCTAACATGTAGCACAGCTGATACTGTATTTATGACTCGAGGAATTGGGATGCGTCAGCAGAATGTGAACTAAATATAACACACACAGATACCATGTATACATCACTTCAGGGGACATTACATTGACTTACATGCATTTCCTGGAGACTTATCCTAACCTTAACCAACACATGCCTAACCCTAACCCTAACCAAGTCTTCACCCTGAAATTAATGATTCCCCTCATGGACCTCCATTTTGTCCCCATAAGGGAGGCGAGTCCCCACACGTGACTGTGTAAACAGATGTAGGTCCCCACAAGTATAGTAATGCCACACACACACACACACACACACACACACACACACACACACACACACACACACACACACACACACACACACACACACTAAGAGGAGCAGGACTTGGCTGGGCAAGGCAGCTTTTGTGCCAGTTTGACCGCTAAGCAAATGGCAAACTGTAACGCAGTGATGGCTGGTAATTTGTCTTATTCACAGTGAAAGAAAAAGAGAAATAAGCACCACCAAAAGCTAAAGTCCTTTTCATCAGCTGACAGTCTCTGCACAACATGGTCTTCTGTTCACTGCGTCTTAACTTCAAACCATCACCAGCTCACCTGATTTGGTCAATATCGTCCTGTGTGCATTCTTCATATATAACATGCTTCATCTACCACAGACAGTTCTTAATGCCTTTTCTCAATCAGCTGATAAATAGGAGTTCAACCTGGAAAGTAAAACCCAGAAATAGCGTGCCGAGGGGCTAACGCTGCTCCGGTTATCTTTGCCCTCTGACAGTTTGCCCCCTCAGATGTCTGAGCTGCTGCAGGTTACCGTGGGGACAAACAGCTGTGACGTCACACTGCTGGTCAACACTTACGTTTCTCTGGTGGTGTGTCTTCATTTGCCGTGCACCTGAGCCCTTTCCCTCCGTGGACTGAGAGGAGGCATGGGAAATAAAGCATTAGAGGATGAAAATGCTCATAAGTACAACATGTAGAAAGCATTCTTTATAAATACTGCAAATGAAAGTGTTGTGCTGATGTTTTAAACACTTGACAACTAGCGTCCTTGAGCAAGACATTTAAAGTATTTATTATTCCTGTTTTCTGATAATCATGACTTCAATAGTGTGTAGTGTGCGTTGGTGTTGCTACTGTAGTTCACTAAAGCAATGAGCAAAACATTTTCTTCCAACACTGTAGGCAAGTTATTCTATTAAACTCACAATCCAGTTTTGATTCCATAAACCGTAGTAAGTAAGAAAAAGAAGTGGAGATCTTTGAGAGTCACCAAAGAATGTTTGTGTAAAATGCTTCTTTGTGACTGTGTGACTGTGTGTGTGTGTGTGTGTGTGTGTGTGTGTGTGTGTGTGTGTGTGTGTGTGTGTGTGTGTGTGTGTATTGTTTCTACTTGAGGTCGTACCCTGAGCGCTCTGCGAGAGGACAAACTTCCTGATGAGCTTGTCTGTTGCCTGGGTGTACAGAGACAAGGCGTAGCGCAGAGACTGCAGGTCTGGACTCTTCTCCAAGAACGTCTTCTTCAGGCCCACACCACCAGCGTGGAAGTATTGCTGTAACAGATGAGACAACACACGCGTATTGTAGAGAGCCAGAAAGACACACAGAGGCTAAAACACAGAGAAGTGGAAAATGTACAAATGTGACACAACTAGTTTCAGACCTGGAGCTACGGAGACAAGGTGGTGTAAAGCAGGTTTGGCAACTCAAACACCTCTAAGATAAATGATGTTGAAAATAACATTGTCTTATTTCTTATTTTATTTATATTAATATACGGCATATGTCCTATTAGGTCAGATAAACGTGTTAAAGAATGACTAAAGTAAAAAAAAAAAAGGACCAGTATGTAGGATTAAGAAGATTTGTTTTAGCAGAAATTAAATACATTGTTTGTATTAGTGTATGATCACCTTAAGCTGAGACTGAGCTCTTTATCTCTACAAAGGGTTCTCTTCTTTACGCCCACCATTTTTCTACAGTAGCCAATAACAAATAAACCCTCCACGGGCTCTAGAGAGGGCCTGTTATGACTTTATACGAGGGATAAGTCAAGTGAGACGTGCCATTTCCCCCAAGCAACCAGTGGAGTCGCCCCCTGCTGGATACAATAAAGAATGCAGGTTTAAGGGACCCAAGCACTGGCTTGTGAGGTAGAGGCTGAGCATTCATTTGGTTGAAAGCAGTGAGCTTACCGCTAGATGCCACTAATTCCAACACATTGGACATTTAAAGCTTTCAGTTGAACCCCATTGTATGGTTTAAGAGCATCCCATTGTTCATTCTCTTGAACACAGAATATGACATACTCTGTTACTTTAGTATTTCTTCATGTTAAGCAAACACAAAATGTTGTTAAAATAAGAATCCAGCACCAACTCCTTGGCTGCTGTGTTTGTGGGACACAGTGTACTCTACCTTAATAGTGTCCAGAGCCAGCTCTATCACTGCACACTGTTTAGGACTGAGAGCTTTGGCCTCCTCTCGTCCCATGTGCTCCTGCAGGACAGATCAAACAGGGGTCAGTCTTTTGCTTTACTAAAATGTAGTAGATATTTCTTAGTACATTTGCTTTGTTTGCAGCGTTCTGTTTTCATCACCTTGAGTTTGGAAAGCTGACCCAGCTCCTTAGCAGCGTTGAAGATCATCTGAGTGCCCTGTGGTTGAGAGACGGACAGACAGGTGAGTGAAGAAACCTAAAAGGTGGTGTTTTAGAGATATGCAGTTGAGTGAGAGGTGAGTTCAAGAGGTTTAGTGAGGACAGACAGCTGCAGAAACAAGAGTTTGAAGAGTGAGGTGGAATAGGGTCAAACTACAAAGGTAAACTAATCTATCTATATTTTCAATAAACATTCAGAATTTAAAAAAATCGTCATCTTGAAAGACAATATAGGTTTTAGTGCCATGGTCATTATGCCTCTGGTGATGTGTGCTGCCATTTCAATTCAGGTTTGATGCACTGCTATCCACAGAGAAGGAGAACTTAAGACTGCAGAGGGTGGTGTTAAGACTCCTGCTAAAACACAGTGTTTCTTCATGCTAACAGAGGGCAACATACACATACTTACAATGACCTAAGAAAGGAAGGAAGGGAGAAAGAATGGTGTTAATGGCAGGAGCGATGGGTACATTAAAATGGAACAAAGCAATGAAAAGCATGGAAATTCAGAAGAAGAAAAAGGTGAAAAAAGAAGAGTGGATGTCTTACACACCGTCGTGTCAGTGAGAGTTGGAAGCACAATTGTTTTTTCCATTGTGTTCATCACCAGTTTCCAAAGCTCCTTCAGCACTCTCTTCAGGACGGTCTTCTCGCAGATCTTAGCGAACAGCGACAGGCTGAAACACAGAAACACAATCTCTCAGCTGCCAGACATGAGGGCAGAGCTGACACACACATTTCCATTCGTTTTTGGAGTGTGTGTGTGTGTGTGTGTGTGTATGTTGATATAGCTCACTTGCGAGACTTGTTTAAAAAGAAAATAGTTTCAGTATCTAAAACACTTTTTTTCAGTTGCTGAGTTGGAGAAAATCATTTTATCTTCTTCAAATCCTTTGTTCATTTATCAAAAGATTGAATGCTGTCTTTGTAACAAAACGGCATTCAATACATTCTTGTAACCATTCAAGAACTGGGTTTTAAAAGGTTTAAGTCATTATCTCCATGGAAATGTGATATTATTTGAAGAATCCTTTATTGCCTGAGACACATTCAGCTCAATTCTTCAGCCGTATTGATTTTTAATATCCAGCCGCACTTACTTGATGTCCAGGAAGTCCATGATGGGCTGCAGGACGTTGTCGGCATCCTGAACCACGCTGCCATTGGCCGGGACCGTCTGACCTTTGACCTGGGCGAGGATATCTCCCATCTGCCTGACGTTGTCCTCGATCTGGGGCTGGAAACTGCATCACCAAACAACAACAACAACAACATGTAAACAGACTGTGAAATCAGCAGGAGAAACTGGCCCAGCATCTCTCAGTTGGGATCAAACACACACCTGACCGCAAAGATGCGGCTGAGGTCGTCCATGACGCTGTTCAGTTTGTTCTGCAGCTCCTTGAGGAAGTCACTAGCTTCTAAATTGAGCTGGAAAAAGACAAATGGGATGATTACAAGAGCCATATCATAGAAACACAATCCCAACAATAAGAGCGTGTATGGAAACTCACATCTTTGCCCCCCATGGCCTCAAACATCTTCTCCAACTGAACTCTGAGCTGCTGGATGTTATTGATGATGATACACGGCTGAGGGGAGAAAGAGAACAATCATTACGATCATACTTGACTCTCCCTTCCTCTGTCTGCTCCCAGCGTTTTATTGTAATCAATCAGGGTTAGTCCTCCTAACTTTTTTTATTGCTTCTTTGGCGAAAAGAAGCCTTGGTGATGCAGAGCAGGAGGAGCAGGAGATATCAGTAATTACTCCTCCTGGGGGATCCTCGTCCCTCTGGGAGAGCTGCCCACTTTCCCCGAGGTTACACCACATTCAGCTAGTTACTCAACTCTAATTCACTTGGAAACACTGCAACCTGGGAATGGCTCTAACACTGAAGAGGAGTTTACTGTGCTAAAACCATCCTGACCACATACACCAATGCACTCTCTTGATGGAGCTTAAATCAGTCACAGCTATTTATTCCACTCTCACACATATCCATCTGTTACTGTGTTGTGCCAAACTTTCTACACACCGTCAATCGAATTAAAGAAAATATAAAGATTTTAGTTAGGAGGTCCATTTAAAAAACGTACATATGCTTAATATACTATTAAAATGTGCAAATCTGCATACATTTCTGGCGTATACATCTGATTATAGGAGCATTTAGGATTATATATATTTTGTATCCCTCTATAAATCAGAAAATAGTGTTAAAGCCACATGAAATTCATTGTTGCCATGTTCCTAGGAATCAAACCATATGAATCTGGCTACGATTGCCTGCAGAATATAGACAGGAATCAAATGTGCTACATAAGGATAAGTATGAGAAAAACAAGCCTTTTAAAATGCAAACCAATTTACCATACACTTCAAATGAATATGATACATCTTTTTGACTAATAGATATCACCATGAAACTTCCCCAGTTCATTTATAACAATAAGAGTATTGCATTACACGTTTTCTGAAATGTTTAATTGAGCACATGAGACATGATCTAATTCCAACTTCTTTTAGGTTGACAAAAAGCCCCACATGTCAACATTTAACATTGCATGAACTGTGTTTCTTGCCTGTACACCTTGCCTTACAACATCTCTAACACCTACCACTTTCTCCTTTTTGACATGATTGTGAAAGTCCTTTTCGATGATGTCAGCATAAGACAGCAGGACATTGCCAATGGTCTAAGAAAAGGACACAACATAATGGCATGAGGGCAAACTTACAGTGAAGAAAATACTCAGACATTCTGTGAGAGTGTGAACAGGTGAAAGTCACCTTGGCGAATCTCTTCATGTAGTTGCCAACAATCTGAGGGTCGGGACACTCCAGCTTGCGAATGATTTCAAAACTCTGATTGAGCTGAGAGAACACGTCCACCACCGAGCAGGAGAACAAAGCGTGCTCCGATGTGACCTGGAACTGCAGAGCCAGAAGAAAGGGGGGGGGGGGGGTGTTAGGAGCTGTTATGTGGTGCTGATGCTGCAAGTGATCTGAGCACGTCTAACACTGGAGGTAAGGGGGTTGAATTCCCCTGAGGGACACCCGTGGGAGAGGATCAGACAATGAAGCTGACCCCTCTCACGTGATCAAAAGATTTGTGAGGTGATTTTCTCTGAAAGCAATGGAGGTGATCACAGGGTTATGATGAGGAGCAGGGCCCTCATTAACAGGCGGCCATTAGTGAATAGTGTTATGGTATGTGAAGTGGCTGGGGGACCGCTGTTTTTCGCTGATACAGGAATGCAGAAGCTGCCTCTGGCGACAGTAATTGGACCCAAAGGAGTGCTGACATATGAGCTGAGAGAATCTTCAGCTGCTCGCATCGACCTTCTTTCTGTGTGGATATGTAGAGGCAATGAGACCCAGTGTGGAGCATCTGCATTTCTCCGCAGTAAAGTTTTTTTTTTCCATTTGCCTTTGGTATCGAGTCATTATTGATTGCCTTGAGGCCTTCAAGCCGCTCTTCTCAGCCTTGAATGTGCTGAGTCGGGAGAGATGGTGCAGTCTGCCTGAATTTTCATGAGAAATGCATGAATACATTTTTTGGGGGGATGCTGCAGGTAGGAGGGTCAAGTTTAGGCTCCAATACCGTATTTTCTTACCGTCTCAGCAGAATTTCATTGTTGAATTTAAGTGAAACATTAGTTTCGCATGACGAGGTGTTTCTTTCCTTTAAAAAAAATCTCTTTTCACTTCATTTTTTGGGTGGGCGGCAGTAGCTTGGCTTAGGAAGTGAATCACTCTAACATCCCTCAAGCTGCATGTCAATTGGTCGTGTGTGTGGGTGTGTGTGTGTGTGATTGAGAGTGTGAGTAAAAAATAACATGGAGATTCCTCTTTCTCTGCACACTTTGATGTAAAAAGCCAATATTGTTAGTTAAAGGAAAAGTTAAGACATAAGAAAGATGATCACTATGTAAGTAAGATTGATATCGCTTTCCTTCTGGTTAGTCAGCTGCTGAAGCAAGCTTCATACTGTACAGATGCGTGAGTGGTATCAATCTGTAACAGTAGCCTTTAACTAGGGATTAGGTTAGAAAACCTGAAACAGGGCATTCAAACTAACTAAAGATTTAACAATAAGGCGTTGTTGGGTGTGGTCTTGTATCTAGAGGTTGTGTTTTAAAGCACTCGCAAAAATACTAGCAACCAACTATTTATTTATTTTGTGACAACCCCTGTTAATTGCTTATTCTAGTATGTTAGCATTTTAAATATGAAGGATGCGGATGAAAGCATTTACCCCGTCTTTTTTGTCCCTCTCCAGAGCTCCATGCAGGAAATCTCTTGACACTTCTTCGTTCTCGTCCAACCACATGACGACAAACGGTTCAAACCAGCTGCAGAGGAAGGAACGAGCAGATGCAGCATGAGTGTCTGTGCCACGGTGTGAAAGGCAGGGTGTGGATGCTGTTTATAAGACACTTACGCTGGATACTCAGGTACGTGCTTCTGGAAAGTGTGCAGCTCTTTGCAGTACTCATTGTAGAGCCATTTCACCTTGAAGTGCAAGTTCATATAATCTGCGCTTTTACACAGGCGGTTCTTCTCATGCTCTGAGTATCAAAGAGAAAAAAGAATTAGTCCCACGTCACCACTGTTTCTCCATATAAAGTTGATGTACAAACACAAACAAATGACCGTTGACCCCCCACGACAACACACACAAACACCTACCCTCCATGGCGTATTTCATATCTTGTGCAAACATATTCCACATGACCTCGGCGCTGATCTTGCCCACGTTCAGTTCCTGGGGAAACCTGTGTGGGGCAGTACTCATGCTTAAATCACCCCTCTGTATCCAGCAATGCTACTCTATTATTTAACAAGAGAACCCAGTTTTATTATGTAACAACATTAGTGTTTCATCTGTATTTTTTATTTTAGACACTTTTATCCTCACCGACCCTCAAACCAGCCTTGAGTTTATTTAAATTCATAGAAGTATTAGATCCAAATCCAAACTAACCCCACCCAATAAAGTGTTTGTTCTACAGGAATGACTACTCTGATGACACAGCCTTTGCCGTAAGTGCGAATTGTAAGTGCAAATATGCATATGATTAAAATACATGTCATTGTTGATACAGTTAGAGGCTCGGTTTTTAAACATTTTGACATTCTAAGCCAGGGGTGACCAAACTACGGCCCGGGGGCCAAATGCAGCCCGCGGACCAACTTGAATCGGCCCTCAGCAAATCAAAAAGCATAATGACTTAAGTATAATAAACGTCTGCTTGTCTTATATTGTGCTTCTTAAATATATGTTCAAATACATTACACAGTATTCATGTGTTAATAAGCCCAATTTTCAAATGAATTCAGTCCATTAAAGTTAAAAACATTTTCTAACAAATCTAAGTTGATCAGAAAAAAGCCCAACAACTTATTTTCATAACAACCTTGAAATAAACCCTTCATATTTCCTCTTTTTACAACCAATCTGAGGCTTCTGCTTTAAGGGATGAGCTGCTAACACAATGAATGAAACCCTATGGAGAGCTGTCATGTAGGCAGTTTTTTTCTAACAGCATTTTCAAGTATCAAGAATAATTTACCTACATTGGATTGATTTTTCCAACTTATAACTGAACTTATGAGGGGCCCAGCCCTTTGTATATTTTTCTGTATGTGGCCCTCGGTAAAACAAGTTTGGACACCCCTGTTCTAAGCTATAGTAAGTACAAGGCAGCTTTTTTGACTGATTGGCTTGTTTTCTCTTCCCTCCTCTTATTCTATTACTAAATGAATCCCCTACAGCTGCTCAAAAAGTCTTGATCTTTTTCTAAACGTGCTGTTAAAAGCATGCAAAATGTGACTAATAAGGCCGATGATATGAGACTCACTGATTAAGGCAATGAGTGTAGGAGTTTTTGTCCTCCTCTATGATGGAGACGATGAGGGTGATGAGTTTGGACCAGAAGTCCAGATTTTTGGTGCTGGGACCCTGCTCATCTGGAGGGACTGCCTTCGACTGGAGACAGAGAAGAGATTATGGATTCATAGCGTAACAAAGGCATCCATCAAGAATTTCTTGCAGTGAGAAAACACTTGGTGGTATCACTCGCCAGCACACATACACAGTATATCTGCTTCATACACACAGACTTACAGGGTCCGTCTGATATTCCCTGTTGTAAAGGTCGTGGCAGTTGTTGAAGATGTACTCATAGGTGGAGTTGAGACAGGCTTTCACGCAGTCCTTCACCACCTGGCTCGCTCTGGGTGGACTCTGCAACTCCTGGACCTGAACACAAATGTTACACATATGGTTGAATACACACACTGATCTGAAAAAGTCAAACTAAAATGATTTAACAGCCTGACAAAGCCAAGCTGACACACCCTGTCACATGATAATAGCTTCACTTTGGATAGGGAAATGTTAAGATGAGTCTCAGTTGAAGGCTCAGGGCACTTTTCAGAAAGTACTGGAAAAGTGTTCCATGTTTGTTTTTTGGAGTTTAGTGCTAATGTGAAAGGAAATAAATGATCCATCTTTCAGTCATCCTTACCTTCATCCTGAAGAATGTGATGCTGGTCAACAGATCCACTGTAGACTTGAGGTCTTGTAGTCTTTCAGGACTGCTGGCAGGGAAGTTATTCTAAAAGCACATTCAACATTATAATTATAAACATGTTCACTTAAGGATTCCCTTTCTTCATGTAGTAAGATGAAGGGAATACATATTAGATTAGGAGTGGTCACACGAGAGCATAGACAATCTCATAGATGTGCACACACAAACAGCATAAACAGGCAGGGATCGTAGCATCAAGAGATGAAGATACAATATGTTTTGTATTTGTCATGAGAGAAAGAAGCAGTCAGTACCCGGTACATGGAGAGGTCGATCCTCAGGGAGTTGTGCAGCTGATCCAGCAGTTTGACAAACCTCTCCTTCTAAACAGGACAGACAAAAAAACAGAACAGACTCAGAATCCACGCCACTGCTGAAACTTGATCACTTGTTACCATTTAAATAAACAAACCCGAGGCCAAAACTGACGAGGCTCAGCTGATTGGACGTTCGGATAACGTGTCACGTTAAACAGACTTTCATCTACAGCCCAGGGGGACCAAGAGTTACTCATTTGTTTTTTTAGGGACAGCAGTTCTACATTACATGACTTTGTAGCTGTTTTATTTTCTCTGCCATACAATTGTTTTTTTAAATGTAAGAATTTACTTTGTACATTTTGAGTGGTAAAGTGTGCATTCATGAGCAATAAGACATATTTCAGGGGGAGAATACAGAGTTAAAAGAATACAAATGATTGAAGATAGTCATTAAATAAAATAAATAAAATAAATAAAATAAATAAAATAATAAATAAATAAAATAAATAAAATAAATAAAAAAATTAATTAAATAAATAAAATACATAAATAAATAAATAAATAAAATAAATAAAATAAATAAAATAAATAAAATAAATAAAATAAATAAAATAAAAATAAATAAAATAAATAAAATAAATAAAATAAATAAAATAAATAAAATAAATAAAATAAATAAAACTAAATCTACAAAGTAATACCTTCACAAAACATGGCCATGAGTTCCGTTCATTTAACTTTCAACACAATTCTGACGGCAACAAAAGAAAACGTATCTTTTTCACAACAAAACATGACTCAAAATCAACATTTCCTTTAAATCATTTGGGAAAATGGATAGGGCAGTTTGCCTTTTAGTCCTTTTTGAAACTCTGCCAAGAAAAGTCTTATCACTCATCACTTCCAAAATGTGCCCCAGGGATCGGCTTCCCCGAAACCTACACTGTTTCCAACATTTGGCATCTCCGCCAGCAAAGTGTTTTTTCTTATTTGATGTAATAAAGAAACAAATACAAATACTTTCATCCAAACTCCTTCCACACATGAGTTTGTGCCTCTTTGACACATTCAGAAAATCTTCATTTAATTTCTAAAGTTGACCTTCTCTGTCTGAGCTCCTCCTTAAAGGTAATTGTGTCTTTAGTTATAGCTAGTATAGTGACATTTATGAAGAAGGGACTCACGCCAAAGTTTGATGCAGCAAATCTGTCCGAGGCGGAAACATTGTTGGAGGACTGGGTGGTATGGGCGTAGTAAGCGTTGATGTTGGCAAGCAGAGTGCTCATCACTGCTGGCACTCCGGGACACATGTACTTGGAGGACAAGCAGGCGAAGTGGCTGTGGGGGGGAGTGGCAAAAAGGAAACACTCTTTATAATCATGTATTGGAAACAAGTATAACCTATATGTATGCATTATGAAACTATATACAAATAAGTGAATAAACCAATTCTTCAGAATAAGGATTTGATCTTATGTGATTTGTAGGTTCAGATTCAGAGTAATGTTTGAGGCACGTACGTCATGGCCTGGTAGATGGACTCTACTCCGTATCTCATGGCAAACTCGTCCACGATCTCCTGCGCCGTCTCCTCAAAATACACCTTCCACGCATCGTCCCCTTTGGCGTCAGGGATCTTTACCACGCCGCCATTCTGCTCCTCCGTGGTGTACTGGAACAGATGCTGAACAAAGACAAGGGACAGGACATTTAAAAAACAAATGCACATTGTAAAAAAACAATACATCTGAAAGACAGAGAGAGCCAGTTTTGGTACGTGTCTAAACGTTTTGTAAACTTGAACTGTCTGTCTTTACTTGTGTGGGGATTGTTGATGATTTGCTCCCTAGTGGGAATTTAATATTGTTATTGTGTTATGTTTTGTTTGGTGTTTCTTTTGCGTCTGGTACAATAAATACAAAATAACATCTGATCAGTCTGGAAAAAAAAAGGTGAGGCTAATGCCGTTTTCCAGTTCTTCATTAAAGTCAGGGTTGTAACTCATCTCATTCTATCCTATAGTGGTGTAGATTGATCAATAATTCCTGACAATTACTAATGAAGTCAACTGTAAGGATAAACCTCAGGTTGACAATGTTTTATTCATATAAAAAAAGCCCAATTCCCCTGGGTATTACAGCAGAAACATACATTCACAAAGTGATTAGTTGTGTTAATCTGGAAGGCAGAATTATTTGACTGTAACTCATTAACTCTAAAGGTTGCTGCTGCATAATTAATGTTTTATTTCAACTGCAAATAACCAGAACTCCTTTAGGAGACTGACCTCGTGTAGACAGGTGTACTGGACGTGGTAAGGGGACACCGTCTCCTCTCCTTTGATCTCCACACTTATGTGCATCCGGATGGCTCCTGACACGGCAGACTTATCCGTTCTCTTGTCTGTCAAATCAAAGTAAGACATACATGCTTCCTTAGTTGGCTGAACTCTGTTCCATCTACAAGAGACAAGCACTTCAATTATCTGCTCCTTGTTCTGTTATCTACGCTCCACTTGCTGCTCCTCTCATCTGTCTCTAATTCCCGGCAGTCTTTTCTCTTATCTTTCTCGAAAACTCACCCAGGTTGTACCAAACGTCCATCTCCCCGCTCAGAGTCCGCACTTCGATGATGGTTTGGCCCAGGAAGTCATCGCTCTCACGTTTGAACCTCTGTTTTACACGAGACTTGATGTCGTCATCCTCGTCCCACACGCGAACCTTGATGCGGTCCGACGAGTTGTGGCATTCACTGGATGAGGCAGAATTTTTAGGGGCAAAAAAGAGGAAGTCAACAATGGCAATAAAAACATGGACAAAAAAAGAGTCTCTTACACAATACATTTGCTAAGATATAACCTTGAATAAGAGCATGGCGCATTTTATGCTATTATCATAATACATCAAATGAAATGTCAGCATTTGACTGTACTCACAAGTGGAAGTTTTCTTCCCAGACGGGGTTGAGGTTTCCGTAGATGGTCTTGGTTCTAATCTTGGTCTTCCCCACTTGAACAGTGACATAAGGGTCACTGGAGCCGGTTTTGTCTTTAGCCTGCAGGCCCTGAGCACATGCCACTGGGGAAAAGACATCAAAACCATTCAACAAAAACCCATACAGTTGTCTGACTCAACATTTTTTATATATCATTGTTTTCAAAAGAAAACAACAACAACGTCACATTAAATCAATACCACAAGCAGCATGTTTTATTGCTATATCCCAAAATCGCACATTTTCCTGAATGCCCTGTATGTGTGTATGTAATGTAGCATACAGTATGACACCCTTAACTCACCCGTGATGCTGATCTTCGCTGACCATTTGGACGTCCCATCAAGCACGCTCTGCTTGATTTGTTTCATCTGTGCGCCGTGTGTTGTTTTGTCGAGGGCGAACACTTCCAGGATGAGCTCGAAGATCTCTGGTTTGTTCCTCTCTCTGATCTTCATGCGGTCCTTCAGGACCATGATGATGTTCTGGGTTCGGTCCTCCGCCCCGTGTTTGGAGCTCTTTTCTGCAGCTCCTGATGGGACAGAGGAATAAAGAGAAGGATGTAAGGCCCATAGGCTAGCAGCTTAACTCCTGTTATGCTCTAACAACTAACCGATCTACTTAAAGCTGAGTCGCAAGTTAAGGCACTCGATTTTGAGATTCTTTGACATTTCTTGGCCAGGGATCAAACCCCAAACCTTCCAATACTATGGTGGAAACCTTATCCACTCAACCACTGATCTGGTCAGGAAATAGTAGAAAGTCAGAGAGTGGAGGACCAACAGATGTTGTTGGCTCCAAGATCTTACGAGACTCTTTGGAGACAGCAGAGTGATAAATTATGCATTGCATAGATTGACTCCAAAATCAGTATGGGAATTGGATAAGTCACGCCGTGTGGAGCCTGAATTACAAAAAGCAGTATGGATGCAAAGGCTATGGGTAGAAGGGAGAGAGAGGCAGGGGTATGACAGCACATTACTCAGGAGACAAATTAGAAAGGAAGAGGAAGTAAAAATGTGAGAGCGGATAGAGGACGAGAATAATGCGATGTCAATCAGGCAGAAGGATACAGAGGAGGAGCTAAAATGTGTTTGGAATTTGTGTGGATGGCTGAGTATACTGAAGTTAAAAATGTGCATATGTTCAAAAGTGTGTGGTGGTGCATGTGTGCAAAGATGCTTCCGTCCTTACTCTGCAGACAGTCAGCGTTGAGCAGATCCTGGCACTTATCGTGGCATTTGACGCCGCACTCGGAGCAGCGCATGCCTTGTCGCGCGATGCCCCAGAGCAGCCCCTCGCATTCGTAGCAGTAGGTGGGGGTGGTGGCGGTCCACACCTCGAAGTTGTGTGGCGTAGTGGAGGAGATGGGGTAGATCAGAGCCTGTAGAGTCTTTTTATAAACATGACTTTTCTGCAAAGGGCACAGAGGAGAGAAATGTGATAACCAGCAGCAATTAAAGTAAAAAAAACAAAACATGATGAACAGAATCGTTATGAAGATGGAGGAGGAAACCCACCAGCTCTTCATTGCCGAGGGTGGTGGAGGCCATGGCGGAGGTGATTCCTGCCTTACGAGAGTTCTGCACGAGAGACTGGAAACAAGAGGGCAAACAGAACAGTTTAAATGAACTGTAAACCTAAGATTTATAATTTATTAAGTGAACTATATATGTATTTTAAACAATCACTCACCATTGCCTGATGAATCTGGTCAGTGATGAAAAAGTGTAAAAGAAACAGAATATTTTAGAAACGTAATAAGACAAACGCTACAAGCAAATATGATGCATTGTGTGTGTTTGTGTGGTCCACCCTAACATAGATAGCAGAACAGTGTAACTACATGTACACATTGCTGTAGTTACATTAACCACCACATATATGCAAAGAAGTGAAATCCTTTTTGACGTAAGACGGGAAAAGGTACTATAGCTATAAACCTACTATAAAACAAAAGAGATAGAAATAGAGGTGTTGGTTTTAGAGGAACTGAGATTCAACTGAGGACCAATAATGTCTCCAAAAGTGATTCCAAGTCAACCTGCAATACCGGTGTGTATTATTGCTTGTTAGTGTGTGTGTCCATGACTGTGTCTCACCAGATCTCTGACAAGAGGAACGGCTTTCCTCTTGCGAAGGTCAGGCATGCTGTCAATACTGTAGAGTGCGCCTCCCATTCTGTATAAGAAATAGATGAACAATCATACATTTATATAAATATGTTCAGTAATATTTACAGTAGATAAAACAACTAAATTAAATCACGTTTTGTTACTATGAGGCAGATGTAATTATCCCTATGATTGTTTCTATTGCTACTCCATTAAACGACTTGACTGGAGAGTTTAATTACGCAGACTGCTTCGTCTCAAATAGTGGGAATGACACACACTCACTCACACACACACACACACGGCTTTAATTGCTGGGTTTCCATTTGGCTAACTTAGCACTTCTTTATTATTATGCAGCCTCAGTTCCACTCTGAGGTCTGCCTCATCTACAAATGACCTGCCAGCTAAGTCAGGGCAGCCCACTGCCGCTCAATACTCACTGGCCAAATGCCATGAGCGGAAGGAGGGTGTGGATCAGAATGAAATAGAAGGGAGGATTCCCGGACCAAAGGACGACATTTTAATATAATGGGGCGGTTGGTGGCAGGTTTCCACAATGATCAGAGCATAACTTTAATCGAGTTTAATTCATTCATTCGTTTAGCCAGGCTGGAGAGGATGTGGGGAACAATTGGCAACGTACACACACACATTCTTTACATGTCTATAACATTATTCAAACCCTTTTGGAAAGAGGATGAGGAAAGTACTTTTTTGATCATAACTAGGCTACACATTTTAAAATATATTTTTGGTATTAGTTTACTTGGAAAGATAATATTATTAATAATTTGCAGGTGATGGCCATGAAGCAGAAGACAATGTTGTGGAAACCATCAAATACATTGACCCTGAAGGACACATACATAAGCTAAATAAGAATTACCCCAAAGATAGACTTTACATTAAATCAATAAAGCCAAAGATTGGTGATAAGACATTCAAACCCCAATACTGCTTCTCCGACCTACACTATACCTCTCCCTTTCTTTCTTTTTTGTTGGATTGTTTGTTTGTTCTAGCTGGTTTGAGTTGTGTGTCTTCTATTTCAATATTGTATTAATTTAACTTGTATAACAGTAAAACAATATGCATTAAACCCTGAAGTAATCAAATATTTGGAAGATGATGGAAATAACTTTGCAATAAAGTATTTTCTAAAAAGCGAGACACAGATGGACTGATTGACTTATATGTGATTTGTAATCTGTTTCATGTTAGAGAAAAAAGAAGTGGCAGCAGACACTCACCCGCCTTTACCAAACCACAGCGAGCTGGTGGTCTCTCCTCTGGCCTGAGGGAGACAAAGCAAGAATGTCAGATGAAGAAAAAAGCAACCATAAAGTGACCCCTGCAGCAGTTTCTAGCATTCATATACTGTATGAATGTAGCTGCATCAATAGATTTCTGATTATGGAATTTTATATCAGACTATTCAAAATACCATCTTGTCTGTGTCTTTGCATCAGAAGTCGAAAGTGTCAGTAAAAACTAGTACAAAGAATCTGTGAGAGGCACCCTTAGGAAAAGATGCTGAAAAAAGACATGTGAGCCAAGGAGAGCATAGATGCAAACCAAAAAGAGTTATTAAATAAATGTCACCATATTCACGTCATGAGATAATAAACAAGTTTTGTAACTATTCAAAAATCTTTGCCTGAATAGAAATATCAAATTGTTGTGAAAATGAATGAGCATAGTGAAAGTGCATGTTCACAGTGAGGAGTTCAACAAGACATCTGTTCCACGCATTTCCTTCTTTCTCAAGCATCCAACCAGGTTGTACCTACCCGTCAGCATGCTCCAATGATGGCCGAGCAAAGTGCATGCGAGTGTCACTATGGCAATGACATGAAACTGGAAAGAAAACAAAGCGGGTTCGGCACAAACAAACTGAATAAAAGGCAAACAAAAGAAAGCCAAATGTACAAAAACGTGACGTGACACACATCAACATAAACATCAAAGCAAGTGATTAATTATCTGCACAACTGAATTCAAAGGTAATGAATAGCAACAGAATAAGTGAATAAAATATGCAAGTGAAAACTGATCAAGCAATACATAATGGGTAGCCTACAATTAAATCAAGCAGGTTTGTCAAGGAGTGATTTGGTGTCGTACCCAAACAAAAAAGGTTTGTGGTCTGTGAAGCTGTCGGTATTTTAATTTGAAGAAAACCAAAGGAAGCAAATCATAGAATATGAAAGACGGTAAGTCTGCTTTGACAAAACACTGTCAAAATAGAACTGAGGGACTTACAGACCCTGTCTTTGCACATAAATAATGCACTGCACATTTATATTTCAAAGACCTGGTAGACACTTTTAAGCCCCGCCACACGAGGACGATAACGGACCGCAATCGTTATCAAAAAGGTCTTCCATCCACACGCAACAGGCACCAGAAACGTGTCCGTTCACACGAGACCGCTCGAAAGCGCTGGAGAGGCTGTAGTACATATGCCAGGCCTGTAAGTGGCACTGTACTCCTACCACAAAAGCAGCGAAGAAGACTTCCCGCGCATGGTTGCCATGGTTGCCCTTCTGTTTATTCTCCGCTGTGGACGCTCTGGCTTTTTTTCTCCCTCCCCGAGGCAAGCGTTTGCTCCTGCTGTAAATCTCTCCGGTTTGCCACCAGCAGATGAAAAACACCCACCTCTCCGCCTCTTCCAAGGGACGAGGGGACCGTGCAGCAGAGTTTCAGTTAGATTTTTTTCCACCGGTCAACATGTCCGTTAAAGTTTAAATCTATATATATATATATATATATAATAAATATAAGAATAAAAAACGGAGCCTCTCTTTTCCTCCCCCTCTTCTGAGAGCCCAGCAGCTGATCTCTGAGCAGGAGAGGTGGGGAGAGGCGGGGCTATTGCGCGTTATCAGGACATGATCGTATACGCGTAAACCATAGGCATAAACACGGAGCCGTTTGCCGTTTGCCCCCCCCAGAGCGTTTCGTTTGCAGATCTACCCACCTAGGGACCCATTATCGTTATCGTTTTCTGCGTTCCCATGTCGGCCTCGTGTGGCCGAACCGTCTATCTGATAGAGAACTGTAGCAGATACAACCGTTATCGTCCTCGTGTGGCCCGGGGCTTTAGAGTCTTTTGAACTTGGGAATATCTTTTAGATTACAGGGTGGGCTTGTTGTGAAGGACTGGTATTTGAAGTGAGGGGGGGGGTGACCTTACCTCCCGGACCTGCTCTAAGACTTTGTTATAAATCCTTAGCCAGTTCTGTTTGGCTCTGACGGCTGGATCCACCAGCTCTTTGGGCTCCTCTATCACTGGAGGACTGAAATATAAAAACAGTTTTTATTTTTAGCAAATGTCCTCAGCCGATACATTTCGACAGATTCATAATAAATGTGTTGTTTTTCTTCAAGTCTGTTTTGATGTGCGTAGTTCATTGATCCCTCTCCAACTTCCCTCCTACCTCTCCGGGAGTATCTCTTCTTCCTCTTCTGACGTTGGTGGCCTGCTCTCTTCAAACTCCTCCTCTATCTCCTCTTTAGGGAGGGTCTCCTCTGGCTTAGCAGGGGGCGTCCTGGCCTCTTTGTCAAACATCATCTCCTCCTCTGGCCATGGCTCTTCCTCAAGCTGGAGGTCCTGGTCCTCAGGGGCGGCTGACTGTGTGGCGGCAGGACCGTTGAGATGAGATTGAGGCTGCCCAGAGAACGGGGTCTGTTGGGAGGAAGGGCCCATGGTAGACTTGGGGGGCTGTGAGTTAGTCCCGGTGACCGGGTGGGATGGAGGCACGACGCTGGCCGCCTGGTGTTGTTGAGACACTGCTGGGGCTGGAGGGTGGGTCTGGGCAGGCTGAGCGGTGGGAACAGAAGAAAGGAAAGTGGAGGCCAGGCCTGTGACTGCAGCTGTGAGAGGATTGGCCATGGAGAAGAAGGAAGTGGCAGAGGGGGCCGGCTGCGGCTGTGTTGGGGGCTGTCTAGGCGGTTGTGTTGGTTGGCCAGAGGGGGGCTGTTTAGGCGGTTGTGTTGGTTGGCCAGAGGGGGGCTGTTTAGGCGGTTGTGTTGGTTGGACAGAGGGGGGCTGTGCTGACGGGGCCATGCCAGGAGGATGAGACTGGTTGGATGTCTGGTTGGGGGGTTGAGTAGGGGGCTGCTGTTGGTGTAAGGACGGCTGTTTCTCCAGAGGAGGCCTGGAGCCGGGTACATCCAGAGTTTGGGGCGCTGTTGAAGTTGGGGTGGGGGTAAAGGGAGCCTCCATGTCCTCACTGAGGATCCCATCCAAGATGTACATATCCTCATCATCGTAGATCACCTCCTCATCCTCGTAGAGCCCCTCCTCTTCTCCCTCATACAGTCCTCCGTCGTCCTCCTCGTACAGAGCCGCCTCCTCTCCTCCGTCTTTGCTGTAGCCGCCTTCATCGCTGTACACCCCCTGCGTCTCGTCAGGGTCCCAGTCTGGAGAGCCTTTACTGTAGCTGACCGAGGAGTGGCAGGAGTGGTAAGAGTCGTTCTCGTCGTAAGGGTCCCTCTCTCTGTACTCAACGCCATAGTCCTCCTCGCTCAGCTGACTGCTGCACCGACTCAGCTCTGCAGACGATGCATAGCTCCCCGAGGGACTGCAGAGGAGAAGACAAAACAGGAACAGTTAAGACGCAACATTGCAACATGCCCTGGGGAGACTGATTATTAAAAACAGGGATAAAACCTAAACATAGAGACTTATTGCAGAGGAGGAAGAAGTACTTAGATCTTGCTCTTAAGTAAAAGTAAAACTACCAGAGTGTAGGAATACTCCGTTACAAGTTAAAAACCAGCTTTCAAAATGTGACTCAAGTAAAAGTGCAAGTATTAGCATCAAAATTACCAAAAGAAAAAGTACTCATTGTGCAGATTTCAGAACAATATATCATATGTTTTGATTATAATTATGTATGCATCAAAGTGTTTATCAAAAGGTGCAGCTAGTTTGAATTTGTCTGCATGCTGCAGGGTAGCTTGTGATTTACTCTAGGTGTAACTAAAGTATTATTTAAGTATTGTTTATATTTCACATCTTTAATCTAAATCTGCTAAGTAACTAAAGGTTAGTTGGGTAAAAGTAAACTATTTACAACTGAATTGTAAAAGTACAAAGTAGCAAAAAAAGTAAATATTGTACAAGTACCTAAAAATGTAACTTAAAGGTGGGGTAGGTAAGTTTGAGAAACCGGCTCGAGATACACTTTTTGTTATATTCCATGGAATGCTCTTAACATCCCGATAGCAATGAATATCTTAAGTGAATATCTTAAATCCATAAAGAAATGTCATCTGTGGAAGCCGTAGCTCTGTAAAAAGCACGACCAATCATTTTAGCCGGCCCGGCTAAAATAACTGGATGGCCTACCTGCCTGTCAGCCTTCCATCTGTGCACAAACTTATCTCGTGCCCTCATTGGTCATGTGCGCGTTCGTGTGTGTTGGAGGAGGGGCTCTGTAAGGAAGTAGCAGATTTCTTTCGGCTGTGTATTTTCAAATTCTAGTGCACTCAAGCTGGTTTCTCCAAAATTACCTACCCCACCTTTAAGTACAGTACTTGAGCAAATGTACTTAGTTACATAACATCACTGTATACATAAACACATAAAAGCACACTCACTGGCCTGTACACTTTGTACTCTACTGGACAGCCTTACTAAAAAACCTTTTCTACATGTCTTGTTATGGCCATGAATAATGCCAATGGTTAATCAATGAAAAGTACTGGCGATACAAGAGTAACAGACAAGCAGCGAGAATTAGAGCAGAACTCAAAGAGAGGCCTCCAGAAAGCTGACAAAGGAAAAAGAACAGGCATCCAGAAATACAACAAACTGGGGGAAAGTATTTATACTGCTTGATAAATAGGGCTATTAAAACAGCATAGAGGCCAGATAGGAAGTAGGATTAATGGGGGGGGGGGGGGGAGATAGTGAAGACAGGAAGGGAGTGGTGAGCATCGGGAGGAATAGAGGGAGAGAGCGCAGGGAGTGAGTGTAGAGAGCCGAGAGGAAGGAGATGAAGAAGAATGGGCGGGGGTGTGTGGAGGCTGCCCTGTCCAATACACTCAAACAAGCGTCTAATCTTATGTGCAGTATTGACCATTAGATTGCCAGTTGAATAATTCATGAAGCAAGAGGTGAAGGGGCACATACTTTCATGCCAAGTCTTTGAGAAGCATGTCAATATGAGCTGAGAAATGACACAGTATTGCAGACAACTCTGAAGTAGCGCTTTGTCTGTATAACCCAATGAAGGACTGACACACACACAGCGCACGGCAGAATGTCATTGACTACGATCATTCACTCCAAGGCCTTTCTCGTGGAGGGTATTTTGACTCGTCACATTGGGAAAAGCACAGGTGTAAATAATAAAATAAATGATGGTTGATTTAGTTTCAGGGTCCTGATACTGTGACATGGTTTACTGGGAGACTTCAATACAACGGAGCCATTGTTTATCATAAGTAACACGGTTTTCCGTCCAATACTACCTCATAAGTGTGCTGTGAAAAAGGCGTATTACTTCACCACAAAGTATTTTTTAAAGTAATAACTGTAGGCTATTGTTAAGTTAATTCAACGAGCAGAAAATGAATACACATTTATAAATGAATGAACGACAACAAGGACCATCTTGGAAATAAGTCCTTCTACCCTCTTGTTTTCTTTTAAATGTTCATTTAGATTGGTGTTACAACGTTTTAAGTTTCCTCTTAAGATTATCAAATAAAATGAAAAGGAGGTAAATACGGCAAATTGGTCAATGCTAAAAGAAGCACAAGAAGAAAAGGGTCATAAAGGGCAGCAAATTAAATCGATAATGTTCATTATACAATAAAATCTGTCTAAAATAAGATTGAATTAGCCTCTATAAGCTACTCATTGTACAAGACCAAGTGAGTTAAAAATTCTTACAGGTTATATTATGATATTTAGTTTATTAAAGTAAATTCAGTTATTATGCTCCAAATATCTGGAACAAATTCCCTGAAAACTGCAGATCCGCAGCAACTCTGACTACTTTTAAATCCAGACTAAAGACTTTTCTTTATGCCGCTGCTTTTAATTGAACTATTTACATCTTAAACTGCACTGTAATTTTTATCCATGTATTTTTTCTTTTAATGTTTATTTTATTATCTTTTCTTTTTAATGACTGATTTTAAATGCCATTTTCTTAATGTCTTTCGTTTTTTGTAAAGCACTTTGAATTGCCTTGTGTTCAAAGGTGCTATTTAAATAAACTTGCCTTGCCTTGCCTATTACTTTTTTTCTATAAGTTACACAGTCTCCCTTTAAGCTATTTCATAAGCAAAAATGCTTCTCACCACGTTTGTTTTAAATCATTTAAAACTGAATAAGAAATGGATGGATGAATCAAACAAGCAATCTGAAGTCACCTTGCCTCTTAATAGTTTACAACAAATTATTTATCAATTAATTAATCAAAAAATGAAGATAATCATTCGTTCCACATGAATTGACAGTGCAGCAGGCACACACCTGACAGTCCTCTGGTGCGGGTACTCGAGGTCCTGGACGTTGCCAGAGCGCGGGTATGAGAGGCTTCTGGTGCTGCTGTGCTGTTGGCTGATGGGATACTGGTGGACGGAGGCGTTGGGCTGCGATGTGCTGTAGTAGGGGGGGGGGATGCTGTTACTGGTCTCACTGCGATAGTCGCTGTCCCTGTCATCCACAGCGCTGTCTGGGTCTTCATCTGCACAGACGCACATCAAAAGAAAAAGCTGCATCAGTCCTTTTGATGGTGTCATCATAGATTTCAGAAATAGGAGAAGACAAAAGCAAGAGCATGAGGAAAAAACAACTTAAAAAGGGATGATCCCGATTGAAACAATTCTCTGTACTATGGTTATTACAGATAATATAGAGATGAGATGTGAGCATACTGAACCCCTTTTAGACCCATATAGGTCATTCAGAGTGCATCCATACATAAAGCACATGATGAATATCATTATCGGCTTTCTTCTCATTCTCATCATCATAACTGCACATAAATCCACTCCTGCTCACCATCAGGACATGCTGTATTTCTGTGGTGTCCACAGATCAGAGATGAACATCCCAGAGGGAAGTGATGAGAGACTTTAGCAGAGCTGAATCAGTCAAGAGCGAAGCCAGCATCTATTAATCATTCATCATTATCCATCGCTGTCTCACGCTCTGATGAAGGTGGCTCCTGCGACGCTTACACCTTCATGGTCATCTGTTTGACACTAATTAAAGTCATCGAACTTTGTTTCTCACTTCAACCGTGTCCCCATGTTTCTCTCTCTTTTCCTCTCACTCACTTCATCAGCTCACATTAAGCTCTTTCCCTTTTCCTCTGTGTGGAAAGAGAGGAGATGAGTCTCTGCACTTGTGTGGGTGAGATTGACAGACGCTTATATAAAAGCATCCGCTAATCACAGCATTACAGAAAAAGGACAGAAAGGAAGAGAGGTGGGGAGAGTTGTTTCTTAATGTATGTATACATTTCCAAGTACTCTATGTTTCCTATAAGCATTATGCACTGTTCAATGTTCATTATTGTGGCTCTGCACGGCAGAACATTAAATAGAAATATTAAACACTGCCTCGTGTTGAAGGGTCTTTTAAGATAAATTACCCTGAGTAATCCACAGACCGTTCATCAGAAATACTTTATACAAAATATATAGATATGAAAGATGGATGTTAATAGGAAATATGTCATTTTCTAGAGCAACAAGACATCGTTCTTGAGAAGAGATTTTGCCGTTTAATTTTCAAAGTGGCATTTTTTTTTAAGAGCACCACAAACGAAATGTAACTTAGTTGTATTGTTTGAGGGGATGGTGGCAGATATCACAGAGCGGGATAAACAAAAACTATCTGCATGACTAGATACCACAAAAAGGTAAGAGAGAAAAACAAAGTTTTGTTTTTGGGCATTTGCATAAACTCGCTCTTCTTCTGACATTCTTCACACAAAAAAACAAATTGAAGCTTTAAGTGTTACACTCCCTGTTTCAAAGCTTTTGTGATGGTTAGAGAACCAAATGTATACAACATGTGATTCTCCAGATACATATGGACTCCAGTGTATGCACAGTATTTGTATATTGTATGTACACTTACTTTGTTGCTCTCCCCACAGGCTCCAGTTACCTGCAATAAAACAGGAGTGTTTTTAGTATTGATTATGAACTGCACTGGTGCCCAAACATAAACATGCATTCACGCAATTAAGGTTCCCAGATGGTGCTGGTGGATGGAAAGAGAACGCGGAGGAAGTGCTGCAGCTCTGCAGACTGAACCAGAGGTAGCTCAGCAGCCTCCTGGAGAAGCGCCTCCGGACATCTGAAACCCCTATCGATTCTTTACAGTGCAGCCATCCTATCCCCCTCTGACACACACAACAACTCATGTGGGGGTTACACACATTATACACATACTGAGCTTAAGCAATCTAATTACATCTCAACAGCTTATCACATCATTCTCTTGCTCAGCACAAACAGATGGTTAATATATAGGGTGAACTGTCACTTACAGCACTGGGTTCCTGGTGCACGAAGAGGCCGCTCCTGCTCCTCCTTGTAAGAAAACTGGAGTCAGACAGATTGAAAACTTGACATAGATTAGCTGGTAAACTAATAGGGAGATGCTATATTCAGGAAGTGGAGAAATGTATGTGTAATATGGTTGTTTTGCCAATAAATAATCTGGGCATGTTGGTGAGTTGTGAGGATATTCTAGGGTGCTAAATCAAATGGGGCGACTGCTTACATCTTGGTCCCTCATGGCATTGATCTGCTCCAGTTTTTTTGTCCAGTATCGTGCCTCATCCTCAGGGATATCTGGAAACAACACAGCAGGCAAACTCAGTTGACAAACACAGCTCTAATTGAGCTCTACCTACATCAGCCGTTAACATAGATATTCATTTCCCCTGGAAACACTTCTGTCGTCATTATAAACTCTGGAGATAAAGTGAGCTAAAACAACCCCAATATTATGTGACCCAGATATTTTGGCCCGTTAAGATCAGTGACTTTGAAAATGGGCCTGTTCACTCCCAGCTTCAAAGCCAATCCGCTATAAATAGATCAGCTCCACAAATGGAGGAGTCAGGTGAACAATATCGACTGGAGGAAGAGGAAACAGTGAGAAAATGACACCTAATCAATGTAAAGAGGAGCACAGCTTGATCACTGAGAAGTAAAGGACACAAACGCTCTCCTCGACTCACAGACAGTCTTGAATACATATCACTGGAAGCAGGTCAGTTGAATTAATCATTCAGGGATTATTGGTGTTCATAAATCACAGTTTGCTGTGAAAATACACCGACAGACATCATTTATTCAAGTCGGCTTCTCATTCTCTCAAGGACTGCTGATTTCCTATATTTCTATATTTTCATCTTCTCCCCATATTGACAGTTTCTCACTTGTATGTGAATATTGATGTCTCACCGAGAGGCAGCTCAAAGCGTGTGTCGAGCAGCACCAGGTGGAGAGTGGGCTCTTTGGTGCCGGAGATCTCATTATCGGTCATGATGACCTGAGAGTCCAGCGTGAGCCACTCCCCCGGGCCCTCCTGTGTACAGAAAGACATTTTGAGGCCGACACACAAACAACATGCTGTACAAATGGATGACCGTGATTAAAAACATGTCGGAGCAGTCCCCCGAGTACAGAGAGTTCAAATACAGTATTTCTCAAGTGGTGCTGGTGGCAAACCTCATTGGACTGCCGGATGCTCCGGAGGGGGATCCACACAGTGCCCACCATGGTGTCCCAGATCAGCCCTTTGTTCCACACCTCTACCGTCAGACCCAAGTCCAAGCGGTTTATTTCGCTGGATAGGAAGAGGAAGACAAACAGGGGGTTTCGTCAAAAGTCCGAAGAAAAATGTACGACAATTCATTTTAAGACTTCTGTGGAAAATTGGTACATTTACTCAACTGCTAGTAAATGTTTGATTTATTTCTACTTCACTTTCCTTTTTCCATTTGATGCTACTTAAAAGTTATTCACCACTACATTTCTGAAGGATTATTACAATTTTAACTCCACTTACAAAATATTATTAGTTCAAATGTTCAGGACACGCATGGATCAGCAGTTTAATAATTCAATGCACATTTCTGGACGGTAAATGTACATAGGCAAATATCTCTAAACATAGAGAGATACAACGTTTAATAATTAAGAGTTATATTGACAATACATATTAATTAATAAAGACTTGCAATATAAAAATATATATAATAAAACATTGATTGTATTAATATTAGTTTCTTTTTGACAAGTTGTTATTAGTATTAACTAGAAAAATGCAAAAGAGACAAAGAAACTCTTCTTAATAAAAATAAGAAAATAAACAAAAGACCATATTTACATTTTACATAGAGTACCTTATGAAAAGCATCTACAAATAAACTGTAAAGAAATTGTTAAAAACTACACCATTCGTCTTTTGAGGTAAAATGATTCAATATTTACACAAAGAGCAAATACATAATAATATAAAATGAAACATGTTATAAATCTAAATATAAGGTGATTTTGCATTACCAGTTTTCACTTCGATACTTGAACCATATTTAGCTGACTACACATTATAACGTATTTGCTAAACACACAGGTAGTCATACACACTGAAGATGCACATGAATTACTTGTGGGCATTACTGTGACAAATATAAGACAGCTCTGTGCGGGAGCAAGCCTGAGCGAATCCAACATAAAACATTTACAAGACAGCAGGAAGCAGCAAAAGAAGAGAGAAAGAGAGCGGGGGATGAATTAAGAGAGGAGAGGAGAAGAGTGTGATGAAGGCAGTGGAGGAGGTGATTGTATCGCATGCCTGCAGGGAGCGAGTGGGAACTTTAATTAAGAAATAGGGGTACTGGATTTCCCGTCTGGGTGGTGACTCCTTTTGGGAACGTGCCTGTTTGATGCATGGCAGGGACTGAGGGGGCGCAGTCACTTAAAGGCCGTTTGAAGAAGGCGACGAGGCTTTCTCTGCAGCCCAAACATTACATAACACAGCTTAACTGATGCAACCCCGGAACAACGATCAACGCCTCCAAACATCATACAAAACGCACAGGACTCCGCAGTCAGCCTGCCTGCTGCATCCCACATGCTAAAGGATCCTCACCATTTACTGCCCTGAGAGCACTGTAAAGACATCATCTCTGCATGCAATATGTACTGAAACAAAGCTCATACAAACTAGTGGGAAAAGCTGCTATTGAGCAATAATAGGAGGAGATTGGAAGAGTTAAAAGTAAGGTTGAGATGTAAAGAGGAAGAGGAAGAGAAGGAGGAGGGGCTGAGTATGAAGATCAAGGAATGGTGTTTAAAGAATTGACGGAGGAGAGGAAGGTGGGGCTGGGAGGAAGCCAAGGTTTGGAATAAGGATGAGAAGGGCAAGTGTCGAGGGATAGCGGATGAAAAAAGAAAGAGGATGAGGCGGTTGTTTGAGGCGGAGGTGCGGATGTGGAGAGGAAGACCTACGTGGAGCAATGTAGAGATGAAGGGCACTTGGGGGAAGGAGGAGAGAAAGAAGAGGAGGGCGTACAGGTTGATAGAAGGCAAGATAAAAAAGAAAAGCTCTCAAGCAGGAGAAGTGGCGGAGACGATGAAGGGAGAAGGGAGAGGACGGAGAAACAGAATCTGAAGAAGACGAGGGACTCACAACATGAAGTCTTGCTCCCAGCTGGGCAGGTTGCCTCTGACAGCAATGGTTGTGCTCTTCACATTTTGTACTTTTAGAGTCACATAAGTGTTGAACTTCTCTGAAAAGGAGAGAGGGGGGAGATTAGAAGATAATAATGTAGATATTAGAGAGTATATTAATCATAGGAACTGACTGCATGCTTCTATTTGCATTAATGGCTGCAGCATGTAATGCGTCCTCAGTCTGCTTAAAGATTTATGTGACATAACAGCCTCCCTTTTTCTATTTCCAGCATCCCTGGTCTTACCTTGGGGTCCGTCCAGCTTGGCTTTCTTCACTGTGGACACACAGAGAGGGACAGTGTCACACACAGGAACGCCATCTGCTTTCACTTCTGAACGCTCATGCATGATCTCTGCTGGCTTTCACCCAGAGAACCGAGTGGAGGCCCGAGATCCAATACAAAACACAGTTCTACTACATTGAACTTACTGTAAAAAAATGAATGCTGTAATATCAGTATGTTGAAGAACTTTTATACATTTGGTACACAATTTACAATCTGTAATAATAGTAGTCTGGGCTCATTTGCACCCTTTATGTTTATTTATGTATGTGTATACTATGTTGTATGTTCTTTCCCTACTATGATCATACATGTCATTAAGTATGGTATTTCTGTCATGCTATGTTTTGTCTTTATTATTTCTTGTTGGCTGTTCTGTTTGTCTTCTATGTTGAAACAGAGAAGCAGGATGTCCACCCCAAAGAAGTTGTACTATTGCTTACACTTACACGGAAATAATGAAGCTAAAACATGATTTAAGATCAAATATAGGATTACGATTGTTTGAGACTGAACACACATGCCTGTTCAAATGGGAATGTCTCATAAGCATTCAAACTCCAGCTTTATCCAACCCGGTGTGTCAGAGGGTTTTCACAGTACATTTAAAGCCCAGGCTTTCTCTCTGCAGCACTTTTTTACCGGCTTTGACGTAACTCACACATACATTATTAATACTCTACCCACCGCACTCCACCGCGCACACACACATGCTCCAGATCCCCATACCTCACTGCAGGTGTGTACGAAGGTTCACATTAAGACAAAATGCAAACACAAGCTCAATGCTTCCTATAAACAAACCAACACTTTTACTTTTATACTTAAAAAAGCAGTGTGATCACCACTTGATGTCTTAGTTCACAATATTCTCCACAGACCGTTCACACTAGAACAGGTTGTCATAGTAACCACCAGGAAATGAAAAGTTGATGGAAAATTGCCCTGAGTCGGCAAGGCACTTTTCTAGTTTCCATTCCTCAATACTTTCACTTTGTGTATTTTTTATGAAACACACACACCCTGAGCCACACACACACACACACACACACACACACACACACACACACACACACACACACACACACACACACACACACACACACACACACACCACACACACTACACACACACACACACACACACACACACACACACACACACACACACACACACACACACACACACACACACACACACACACACCACACACACACCCACACACACACACACACACACACACACACACACACACACACACACACACACACACACACACACACCACACACACACACACACATCACACACACACACACACACACACACACACACACACACACACACACACACACACCACACACACACACACACACACACACACACACACACACACACACACACCTCAATACCTCACCAAGCTTAATGCAAACTTAACCTGGAACACACACACCTGTGTATTTGCTAAATGTATACCCTGACACTGGCACAACCTCCATTTGAAAACCCAGAGTAGTTGCAAATACATGCTGTGAAGGTGAGTAAGGAACCGAGCAATGCTTTAAGAAATCCTTTACGATGTTTAGGCAGACCACATCGGAGCCTGCTTCGTCCTGTGTTTAAGTGTCAACACTAAAAGAGCCCTGGAAATATATCAGTACATGAGGAGGATCAATACAAAAAGGAATTGGATTTTCGACAACGGAAAGCTGAAGTTTAACAATACCACACAATCATACATCTCCCTGACAGACTGAGTTATGATGAGAAATGTCCACAAGCTAACAAACAATATGTTTGTCACAACTGGATGTATCTAAGCAACACAAACCCACACATACAAATACGGTACATGTAAGTGCCTATAGCTCATAAACAATAAAGCTTATGATAGGCTGTATCATTAATAAATCGATTGAAATAGGCTTTTGCTAAGGAGCCTAGAAAACCAGGTCAAAGCTATAACTATCTATCTCCATCTGATTAAATGTCTTGAAGGACATAACAAATCAAAGCCTGTTTGTTGTTGTATTCTTTAATCAGAGGAAGCACAGCACAATCTGTAAGACTGAACAGTACATTTTCTGCAAACCCCATTACTTCATTCAGGAAGTACCTCTGACACAGCAGACTCTGACTTATGGGAATAAGCGGATTGCCAAGAAAACAGAGACTCGACAGGGAATCAAGCTAACCCTTCAACATGAACTGTCAGGGAATGTAAAGTAGGGCGTGGGTGAGCCGAGTTCAGCCATCCGCTGACAAAATGAGAGGGCTGACATGATTCAGAGAGCGCCTATATACATATTTACATATATGTATGCACAGATATCCCCACACACACGGATCTGCAGTAGTCTTTGCGACTGCTGACAGAACATCACACCTAAAAAAACTAAAACAAGTCAAGACGGCGAGAAACTGGACATGAAGGAAAGCAGAATATCTGCAGGAAAAGATGCCAAGTTTTTCAGAGTTAATCTGTATCTGTGTCTGAATTCTGCTGGGTCTGCAGATGCTCTGAAGAAATGCTGCCTATTCAAGAGGCACAAAGTACAGAGGAGGCCAGAAATAGCTCCAGTCAGGTAAGCATGAATGATGTAACAGGAACAGAAGAGGGCTCTCTGCCAAGTCTCGTAGTCTACGACACTGACAGCCGCAGCCGCTGTTTATGAATGAATAGCGGTCCGGGTCTTAATGACACCTGGGACTGACTCAGAGCAGGGCCCGGCAGTGGGTGGACTGGCAGCAGGATGAGGGGGGGTAGCATCCATTATGGGCCCAGCATAGAAGGTGACTTTGAAACCTCCTTAACTATCATTTTATCCCCACAATATTATCTATGACAAACGTCTAGCGCCTAAACATACCTCCAAACATATATTTACATGTACTGACGAATTGGGATCAAACATTTATCAAATATTTGAGAGAAGATGAATATGAATAATTAACAGTTTTGGGTTAAGAAGTAAACATACTTCTATAAGTCCTTCACTGCTTAATATCAAGTCAAGTGAGGACAAAATGCAAAACCTTTCAAATTGTCAGCACTATTTGTTCCAATGCAAGATGACACAACATCCAAATAATAAGGAGAAAGTTGTTTTTGCAATTATGCTGATTCAACCCCTATCTGTCCAACAGTGTTATTTTAGAGGGGTCTCCTCTCTCTCAGCGTGGATCATACACTCCCCTGATGACTGCAACCTGTGTGTGAGGCTGAAGGGTTTATGAGCAATCACGGCAGATGCTTATTCATGGCATGGAGAGGCAACAGTGTCAGCATCAGGAGCTTTCAGGGAGTCTGGTAGGAGGAGGTGACGCATCGCTTCAGGGAAAACGCTGAGAAAGAAGGGACGAGCATCTCCAGCCCAATACGAGTATTCCCTCACGACTACAGCGGCGCGGCAGAGCGGCAGGAGTGGTGCGGCAGGAGCGGTGCGGCAGCGGCAGGGGCTTTTCCTCGTCCTCCACCTCCTCTGACTGCCCACGCATGAATGAAGAGATGACACACGCTCACATCGCAACCCACCACCAGGATAGGAAAAAGCAGTTCTCCTCCTCCATGTACACATTTATAGAAACTCAAAGAGCCCAATGAATGGTAGGCTATTAACAGTCACGACTGGGCTACCCTATAACAATTCTGCCTACCTGTTTCTGCGGTCAGATAATTCATACAAGGCATCTTTAATTGAGTTAATTAAGCAAGCATGTCATTCAGCAACAGTGCCGTTAAAAGTATCCCAGTGGCATCCCCCACTGTAAACGTGCTGTGTTTCCGTAAATACTAGCTGCTGCTGTGTGATTTAATGACTGATCAGCACAAATCCTGCTCGGGCTACACAGACTTTTCTCCGGAGCTGATGATAGCCCGCAGGCTCTGTCAGACAGCAGCTAAACCCCAGCAGGTGATACTTAAAGACATCAAACATAGCCCTTAAATGTCCTCTCTTACCTCCCACACATAGCAGGGACATCTCTGATATCGGCGGGAGCGTCCCCGGCTGTCCTCTGCTGAGAGCTCCGTGATTTGTTTGGTCAAGTCCGGTTGTCTCTTGGTTACAAAAAAAAAAACTCAAACCGCCAAACCGTTACCGTAAAAGGTACCGGAAACCAGTCGCCATCATGTCAGAAGCGCTCGTCTCTTTCTCTGCGGAGATGTTGCTCTTCTGGCAGGACAAGACACACAGGAGTGGATTCCTCGCCCCCCTTTTCTCCCTCCTCTGCATTGCTTCAGGTTTGCTCCGCTGCTGCTCCTGCGCGCACAGCCATCTTGTTTCAGTAGCAGCACCCTCCGCGCGAGGACAGCTCCCCCGTGCCGCGCCGCCCTGACGTCACGGACGGTTGATGAGTAGCAGGCAGGAAGAGAGGGAGGGGGTGGGGGAATAAATAATAAACATAATCATGCAGTCAATGATGTAGGCGAGGAATTTCATTCATTGTTTTCACAAAGTTTCACTCTTTAGCTTATTGTATTTAATTTGACATGCATATATTTCACTTTTCCTTGGTCCTGCAACTGAATCTTGCACTATTTCATTTCTACAAACAGTTTCTTCTTGCACTATATTATTTGGTTTATTATCATGATTCATGTCCTATATATTTATGGTGCATTGTTAGGCTGGGACTTAAGATTGTCATTGCCATAACGACACTAGCTAGTGTGCACAAAAAAAACCTTTGAGTCAAACTTACAAAGCATTTTAGAAACATGTTCTTATTCTAATTTTTCATAATCTAACCAAGCTTTGTAAAATGCAGTTTAAATGTTTTTGTTTTTTTTAATAAAATGTATAAGCTAGCCTACAATACTCCAGTGTCAGATTGTATGTGATTGGCATATGCAGAAAAAGGGCTTGCTTTGGGGCATCACATTCTCTGCACTGAAGGGCACCCTAGAGCAGTGGTTCTCAAACTTGTTTCAATAATGTACCCCCTTTGAAAAAAAATTCAGCCAAGTACCCCCTGATCAGCGCAAACACAATTTGTTAAGGAAAAAATGCTTATAAAGAGGTAGCCTACAGTACAGCGCTGCACCATCGGTGTCTGATTTATTAAAACAACAACCTTGTAACTGAGAAACACTCCATCACTAAATTCATGGCAAACCAATTTTAACATCAAGCAATAACACTAAGACGACATTAGTTGCATTGAACTGATCTTTTTAATAAGTTGTACAATGTAGTGAAACATGTGGTTGTGCTTCACTGAGGATCTTTGTCATTCTGACAGGGAGGCAAACTGCAGTTACACTTCACGTTTTGAAATATGTGTAACTCTGTTCATATAAAACCCACACTGCTCAAACTTCCTTACTTTTCCTAAAATTGGTATATTTATTTATTTATTTATTTTTGGGGTGTGGGGAATGAAGAGAAAAAATATATGAGCATTTTATGAGCATGGGATTGCGTTGAGTGGAGCAAAATACACTAAGAGTTAGACCTAACATACTTAGCTAGTTTATCTACTCTGGAACTAGCTAAACTAGTTATACATATATTTATTCTTTCCTGTCGGGTCACTTATTACAGGTTCAGCGAGCTGCACGAGACTGACGGGCTGTCAGGAGAGGGAGAGGAAAAGAGAGCACCCTGTTTATTGTTCCCATTTTATTATCCAGAGTTTCTGTAAACCTTTGAATAAAGTAGTAAATCTACTATTAGTAGTTTGTTTAAATGCATTACTTGTGTTTTTTTCTTTCTCATTAACATAAAATAAATCTCACGTACCCCCTGCAGTACTCCAACGTACCCCTAGGGGTCCGCGTACCGTCATTTGAGAACCACTGCCCTAGAGCACAGCTGATTTATTTGGACATTATGCAATTCTGATCATTCACAATATTGCAAGGGATGCTCATGTTTGCATCAATCTCTTTTTTAATAAAAAAAATGGTAATATTAAGATGATCATAAGTAGATTTTTTTGAAAATCAAATGTGAAACGAATGCAATTTCGATTATTGCACTAGTCTTTAGTGTGATTTTCATACAATTCAAAGTATATGTTTAGCCCTACCGGTTATGTAGAAGGGTTGGTGAATTTGATGTAATTCGAGTGTATATATAGCCTAAAAATATAATGTAAAATAAAAGTGACCCAACTAGTTTTCAAATATAGATATCAGACTCCCCCCACCTCGCTCTAACTCTTACATTCTCAGGAAAAATTAAGAAAACATGATATTATTAGTCATAGTGCCAGCAACAACCCTGATAAATAAAAAATAAAAATATATATATTGTTGCTTCAAAAAGGGACAATGCACATGCCTGGTATTTTATTTCTTTACAATGTATGTTTTGGTTTAATGAATGCACTAGATTTTAGTTAAGAGAAAACATAAACAGGTGTGTTCGCTAAGGATGAAATACTGGTGTGTGAGGCAGATGTATGGGCATAGATATGTCTCATAATTATTTGTGTGAACATAAAAAATAATTTGTGTGTAAATATGTGATTTGTAAATGTAAAACAACATCCACAAATGCATTTAAAAGATTTGCAAACTCACAAATACATAAATATGGAAATAAATACATCAATGTATAAATAAATAAATAAAAGTCGAAAATAAAACAGAACACACGTTATTATATATCTTTCATTTATTTCTACATTTACGCAACATACATTTATTTATTTATGTATTTATGTGTCCGTATGCTAAGGAGGTGGGCGGTCCTAACCTCAGTCTGAAGCAGGATTGGTTACAGGAGTGTGTGATCATTTCTGGCAGAGGGCTCTACTACTAACGCCTGGATAACCGCGCTGATTCGAATGCAGGAGCTTTACTGTTTAGCCCTTATCTTTATACATCCATGGTTTATCCACAGTTGTAAGGTTTATTTATGGATATTGATTTAAGAGCCATTGGAGATCATTTACGATCATTAGCGGACCATTTAGAGAACGGAGAACCAAAAGACTATGTCCAGTTTCGTGTGGAACGATGTATAGAGGACTTGGCTCAGCTCGACATGATGTGACTTGCCACAAATCTATTGCTTCTGCCTGGCTCCAACAATTGGCGAATCCTGCTTCAGACTGAGGTTAGGACCGCCCACCTCATTAGCATACGGACACATAAATACATAAATAAATAAATGTATGTCGCGTAAATGTAGAAATAAATGAAAGATATATAATAATAACGTGTGTTCTGTTTTATTTTCGACATTTATTTATTTATACATTGATGTATTTATTTCCATATTTATTTATGCATTTATTCTTTATTTATTTATTTGTGTATTCATTTCAACATTTATTTATTTCTGTATTTATTTCGTCATTTATTTATTCCTGTATTTATTTATTTATTTACGTATTTATTTATTTATTCCTGTATTTATGTACGTAATTTATTTATTCCTGTATTTCTTCATACATTTATTTATTTATACTTAAGTCATGTTCCGTCCTCCATATTGCGGATCTCAAATCTCTGTTCACGGATCGTCTTTTTACACACACGGAATTTTGAGACATATTTTCCGCCGGTCTCGGCTAAAATCTACTCGTCTGCTGATGGCGACATTTCCGCATGATTTCAAAGTAAGCATGATGGTTTGTTTAATGCTCTGTTTTTGTATTATAATGAACAGTGGAACGTTAGATGCATTCTTCATCACCATCATCATCATCATCATCATCATCATCATCATCATCATGTTATAGTGATACAGTTAGTTTGTGTTATTGGTTCAATATAGCATATATTGAGCACTTTCGTTGATGTTGAAGTGCAGGCTATAGCCTACGCCACTTTCGGGTCCCGGGGGAGCAGCTGGCAGCGAAGCAGCCCAGATAAAACTCTTTCTTCATTGTTTGTTGTGTATTCAGTCAAGCGGGTCGAAGTTACAAAGCACTTCACATCTTATTAATCGGCCTAATTTTACCTTACCAGTGCAGTAATAAAGTAATCTGTAGAAAAGCACCGTATTTAGGTCAGGGTTATGGTGATGAAGAATACATCCAACGTTCCGCTGTTCATTATAATACAAAAACAGAGCATTAAACAAACCATCATGCTCTTACTTTGAAATCATGCGGAAATGTCGCCATCAGCGGGCCATCACGTGGTTTCCGAAAATAACCGAGTGACACGAGTAGATTTTAGCCGAGACCGGCGGAAAATATGTCTCAAAATTCCGTGTGTGTAAAAAGATGATCCGCGAACAGAGATTTGAGATCCGTGAACAGAGATTTGAGATCCGCAAGGGCATTTTGGTCCACAAATACAAAATGGATTCACAAATGCCTGATCGAAAGGTGTAAATGTTAAAGAGATAATCACAGATCTTTTTTTTATTTGTGAACATATTTAGCGTATTTGCAGATCCGTTTAACACTTGCAAATGTATTTGTGAGTTTGCAAATCTTTTAAATGCATTTGTGGATGTTGTTTTAAATTTACAAATCACATATTTACACACGAATTATTTTTATGTTCACACAAATAATTATGAGACATATCTATGCCCATACAGATGGACCTCATGTACAGGTGGAGAGCAGAGAGCACCGTGTAGTACCAACAACAAACGCCAGGCGGCAGCTAAGGGAAACAAAGACTGACGAGCCTACTAGAAATACAAAAACCGACGAAGTGCGTTGTTTACGCCTACACTCCGTTCAAGATGGCTGCTGGAGACAACAGCGGCAGGCCTCCTTGCCTTACTTTCTCCGGTCCTGGCCCTTTGGGAAACAGCCAGCCAAGCAACAGCGTGTTCTCCATGCCGGCGTCTAACGGCGGAGCTGTCGGTGCGGCCGGGGGAGCGCAGGGCGCGACGAGGCGACCCAACCCGCAGATGGGGCCTGGCGGCGGGGACAGCAACGGAGTGTCGAGCGGAGCTCAATCGACTGCGCAGAACTCCCTGCAGCAGTCCGCTGCGGCAGGTGCTGCAGGAGCCATGTCCACCCCGGCCACCAACATGGCAACCGCGGCGTCAAATGCAGCCGCGTCGGCAGCAGCGGCTGCCACCCCGGCTGCTGCGTCTGTGCTGGTGTACCGAGAGCCGGTGTACAACTGGCAGGCGACCAAGAGCACCGTCAAGGAGCGATTCGCTTTCCTCTTCAACAACGAAGTGCTCAGTGACGTTCATTTTTTAGTGGGCAAAGGAATGGGGGTTCAGAGGATACCTGCGCACAGGTAAGATCAGCTGCATGAGTATTCAAAACGTTAGCTAGCTAACTATGACGATGCAAAGCGAAAAACGTAACCTCTGTTTTGTTGATATGGTCAGGTTTGTTTTGGCTGTGGGGAGCGCAGTGTTTGATGCCATGTTCAACGGAGGCATGGCGACAACTTCGACGGAAATAGAGCTTCCTGA